CGTTTCTAGGGTCGAATCCCGATAGTTAGTGATACCGACGGGGCCGTAGGTAGTAGATAGAATGGGGGAGAAGGGGGTGGGCACGGAGGGGAAACGGAGACTCGGAGAGTTACAACGTGGCCTATGGGCCTTGGTCCATTCATTCATTCCCATGAATCCATTTCCATGAACCAGAAGGCTAAGCAGAACGGCGTCCCGGAATCCAGTTGCCTGGAATATATTGGCAGGGCCCAGATCCAGAATCCCCAATTCCAGATTAAAGATCCCGTGGTTGAACAATCTACTTTAATATACGCGAGTCGTGAGGGAAAGGAGATGCGCTTCCCGATTCGGTATGAACCGATGGGGCGGGCGTCTTTCCGCCGTGCAAGCCGACTGACTGAGCTCCCGTTTGATTGCTTCGCTTCCACGAGACACTGGACTAAAAAGTAAAAACCCTCGTCGCGGCCGTCGTCGTTTATTAAAGTTTGGTACGGGTTGGGTCTATGGATTATGGATTCGGGTTTGATTCGATTGATTTAATTGACTTGACTTGACTGGGACTCATGCGGACTAGGAGCTAGGATAGAATTCCTGCGTGTCTCTTCGGTCTGTGCTTGTTCGAGAATCGCTAAAGGATGAGATACTCCGAAGATTCCTGAGAGAAAAGGATTGCGGCATGCTCGGCGGCTAACCCGATCGGACGTACCTCGGCAAAATCTGTACGTTGTAAGGGGTTGTTGGGTTTTTGTCTCGCATCTGTTGTCCTCCCATCGTTTTTCGACACTATTGCCTGATGTACGCTATATATGGAAGCAAGCTAGATTTGTGATGGCGTCTGCTGCTCACACCGGGAGCATTGCCGTATTTGATCGCCAGCTTTGCTTGCGGTGTTTGCACAGGACTTGAGGACCATGTGGTAATCAGCTTTGCGGCGGAGGGGCCCGTCGCTAGTGAACATCGCGATGATCATGCGGGATCGCGAAAATAAAAAAAAATAAAAAGTAAAATATTAATTATTTTTTGATTCTCTACGGTGTATGTTCTGTCCGACTTCCAAGACAAGATCTTTAAAACGTCTAAGACAAGTTAGTTAGACAAGCCTCCGTAAAACAACACCCACCGCGATACTCCCTTGACATTTACGACTCATGGGTTTAAATTAATGAAAATTGTTTCCAGAACCTACGGAGTACGGATATTCTGATGATCATCCAGTAGTAGGTCCACCTCGTCTCCATGACCCTTTCGGATTCTTAGCGAGCCCATCCATCCCGGCCGAGGTATCTCGTGGCTAACCAAGGAACCCGCCCACAAGCCAAGCCAATCAACCCAGGGAAATCCCAAGTCTCGGGCCTCTCTAAAAAGTTGTTGGACGGTGTCGAAATCCGCAGCTGTCTCGGACACGGACTTTGACGGTCGATCCCAATGGAAGGGAAATTGGGAGCGAATCCTCCGTTAGTTAACTGGGACGAGGTACCTGTCTGTGGGGATTGACATCCATGGCTATGGGATTTTCAGTCGTCGGCTATGTACCGTGTACCTGGTTGCCTTCTTTTTTGGGGGATTAGTTTCACAGATCTGTTCTAGACAACTGGACGGAGAAGGGGGAATGCTTAGTACGAAGGGCATTAGCAGGACGGTGTCTGAAAATTGGAAGAAAACGTAAAAAAGACAAGATCGACGTCATCATGATGACCCGTCAAGCCCGCCAGGTACGGGCATCGTCCGATCAAACCAGGCGGATCGTCGAGTCTGTGTGTGATGAGTAATCCACCCGTACGCAGAAGAAGCTGCGGTATCGACTTTCTCTCGCTGGACAGCGTCACAGTCCGAATCTCCGAGCCTGCGTCACAAAGAAAAGACCAAATCAATTAAGCAAGGACAAGACCAAACGGACAAATAACCTTGGCTAGAATAGCAGCTTACAAGGGACCCAAAAAAAATGTGGGCTTATTCAAGCCTGCCTTGCCCTCTCACTCTCAGTCTTTCCCCCCTTTTAGCGCCGTCGTTTTTTAAAGTTTCCCTAACTCTCTGGTTGGCTGTCAACGCCACGATAATCTCCGGTTTCTTCACGCCACTAAAATCCCTTGGCCCCCAAGCGAAAGGATGCAAAGGAAGGGAAGGGAAAATCGTTCACAGATTTCTCTTCTTGGTCTCGGAGCCTAGGACTCATTCGGATTGGCGTCTTGTCCCACGGCAGGAGGAGGTGCCATTCCACGCATCGTACCGCTCCTCCGTCATGCGGCCCCAAGGGCTTGGGTTGACGATGGGAAATGCACGGAGTCATTTCCCACGGAGTCATTTCCCATCCCAGAAGGGAGCTGTCGACTATTGGATTTTTTTTTCTTTTTTTGTACCAGTTATAGCCTGTTGTTGTTAAGCATCGTCACTGCTTTCTTTCATCGCCCCCCCCCCCTCCCCTCCCCTCTTCGTTTGTGATCGGTGATCATCCCCGGGAGGGCGAAAGGGTCGAAAGGAATATTCGATTATCTTGGCTTTTTAATTTCGATGAAGAGTTCCTTTTGGGAGGGGGGTTTTCTTCTACGCCGTAGTAAGTAACTATGGCCGGACCGAGGTACAAGGAATAAATAACCCCCAACCAACATAACCACGGAGTACTACGTAGTTAGTTAGGTAGGACTATCAAACAAAGAAAAAGGGGGGAAAGGCATGAAAGGGGACGATGAGGAGGTTGGCGACGGATATGCAAATGGGCTGGGACTTGAACAGGGAAGACAGCATGGAGAGCCAAACAGATGATCTGATCAATCCCGACAATATGGAAAGAGGTTGCCTCCAAGGCAAGCACAGTGCAACGGTACCACGGTACCACCCCAGTTGCAGTACGCCTACCACGCCGATATCTTTTGTTCTCTGGCGGCCTCTCTCGGTCAACTCCCTGTTCAAGATCTACAAGGAATACTTGGTATGAAAGGGTAGAACATGAGATCAGGCTCTCAGACTCTCAGTAACAGCGTGATCGTGCGGCAACGATCAGCCGTTTATGGGGCATGGGATCGTTGTGACAGGTAAAACCTGAGGGATGGAGCCTGATCCACCCGAGACGATCGGCTGGTGAGAAAGGGCCATTTCGGACAGAGTCCAGGATTGGGGAATCATGATGATGATAGTTATTTTAAATTAATTTATATGATATAGGATGATATTCCACGGTAATCATCTAATATATACTCCGTACCCTAGTATGAAAAGGGAATGGGAAGACAGGGAAAAAAAATAAAAAAGTAAAAACGGACATCGGAGGATGGTAACGTAACGAGTAACGAGTAACGACCCATTTAAATAACAGGATACGTTGCCATGGAATGGGATCATTGGCGACAGAGGGCGAGAGAGAGAGGGGGGATGGCACAGTCATGTCCCCATGATTAATGATGATCGATGATTGACTGTCTCCCGGCGCATGATGGAGGAGGAAAGGTGTCCGTGGATCTGCACTAGCGCCAGACTTGCTGTAGCCGAGCCCCGAAAGTACCGTTGTCCACCGGCCGATCTGTGTACGACGCGGTTACGTACACTTACCGCGTGGTGTATCATCTATCTCCTTCTATCTTGGTTCCCAGGGGAGGGCTGGGCAGGGAAGATTCCTCGAGGAATTTGGGGAATTACCCGTTTGGGGAAATAGTCGTCCTTGGCTTGGATTTGGAAGGATTGGATTGGATTTGAGGGGGGCGGTTGGTATTCCTGTGGGAGTAATCCTGACTTCCTGAGACTTCCATAGTTGTTCGTGGGCCAAACCATAAAATCATGAGGCAGAGGGGGGGGGGGAGAAGGAGAAGGAATGATTCTGACTAACCCGGCTCCATTCGAACCATTCGCCAGAGCGTCGTGGTTTCTGGGGCGGGCGGAGAGACACGTTTTTTTAGCTCTCGTCGAGCCTACCCAAAACAATTCAACTAATGGCAAATCATCCTAGCTCCGTTCCATACGGAGAGATACCGTACCATACCCAAGCGCTAATCTTTTTTTTTCTTTTCTTTTGAAGCGAAAGGGCAGAGAAAAGATATAATAAATTAACCATAAATTATTTATTTCTAAATTAAAAATGATAGAAAAAAAAAAAAAAAAAAAAAAAAAAGAAAGACATCGCGTGTACTCCGTACGGAGTCCCAGGCCGCTGGTCATTAATTAAGCTTTGGAACGGAGGTATCAGCCCTTTGTCGAAGCGAATCGAGAAAGTGGCCACTGCGGGCTCGGGATAATTCATTGTTCTTTACTCTGTACATGTATTGTACGGCCATGGATTCTTTTGCCGGCATCTCTGGCAGCAACCGACTGCGTCCCTGGTAGAGAAATTGCTACACTTGAATTATGAGGGGAGTAAGAGGTGTAAAATATCCCCTGCCAGTCTGGTTCAAGGGGCAAAGAGAACAGAACCAGGAAGGAGGATCGGGAGACTCCCGTCGTTCTGCTGTCGGCTCTATACCTATCAGGTTAACCTCCGCGCATCTCCTCGTTTACGACGACGGAGTATACCCGCCAGGCTATAATTAACATTAGGATCGATCCTCCTTTTTTTTTATTTTTTTAAAGAAAAAAAAATTAATTAATAGGGATTATTATTATTACTCGCAAAAAAAAAAAAGAAATTCCTCCCATCATCATCCGCTTTTTTATTTTCTTTTTTATTCCTCTTTCTTTTTATTATATTTTATTTTCGAGAATAATTATCATTATTCCCTGCTCCCCACCTGGCCCAGCAAATCCTCCCTCGTCGTTCTTTGTCTATAAACCCCGTTCTTTCCTTCCCCCTGTTCCCATTCTCCCACCCCCACTTGTACCTTAACGTGAATGTGGATTCGGATTGGGTCTTGAAATTGCCTGTTCGCCGTCTGCCCTACCTAATCTCATATATGGTTCGCCCATAGCCACTTAATATATCTATCTCTGGCCTCACCTCTTTCCTTCTCTTCTTTCTTTCACTACCTCAATCTCTCAACTCAACCAACCTCCAACCACACCTTTACCTTACCTCTCCCTTCTCGACATCTGACATCATGGATCTCGCAAGCCTCATTACTCCGGGTCCCGATCCCCTCTACAAGCCCAGGGCGTCATACAGCCCTGCTGCTGCGGGCTCATACTTCCCTTCCGTCCCGACATCGTATTCGCGCACACCGCAACCGCCCCTCTCCCCGCCAGTGGACGATGTCCCCAAGTGCTCTCTCCCTTCCATCTCCTCTCTCCTTGAAGGTGCAGACGGTGCCGCAATGCACGCAGCCAGTATGTATATCCCACCTTGCAGTGCGCAAACCTCAGCGCAATGCAAGTCCTGCCATTGAAACACCCGCTAACGATATCCCTGTATAGAGCGCCAAAGAACTACCCCGCCGTTGCACGGGGAGGCAGAAATCCGGTCTCAGGCTAAAGTCCGCGAGACGTTCGTTCCCAGCGGCCCTCAGACCAACATGCCACCCACTCCGCCAATGCGACCTGGTTCGGGTTTCCACAGCAATGGTCACTCCCCATCCGCATCTTCTGTTTCGGCCATCAAGACGGAATACCCTCCCACACAAATGAGCTTGCCTAGTCCCACGGACCGGTCCTCGATCTCGAGCCAGGGCTCCGTTCAGCATGCTCCTTACGTTTCTCCCGCTCCCAGCGTGGCTTCCTTCTCGTCTCCTATCGACCCGCCTGCCTCGTCCGCTGTATACTACCAAAGACCCGGATCGTCAGGTACCTACCAGAGCGCGCCCGCGCAAGCCGCTCCTCTGCAGCCTTCCTCGACTCAGCAAATGATCCCTCAAGTCGCCAACGCCTGGCAACATCATCACTACTTTCCCCCTTCCACCGCCGGAGCGTTCCAGCAGAACCATGACCGATACATCTGTCGCACCTGCCACAAGGCCTTCTCCCGTCCTTCCAGCCTCCGCATTCACTCTCATAGCCACACCGGCGAGAAGCCCTTCCGTTGCACCCACGCAGGATGCGGCAAGGCCTTCAGTGTACGGAGTAACATGAAGCGTCACGAACGGGGCTGCCACACCGGTCGACCAGTTACTACCGCGATGGTTTAAGACACCTCGCGGGACGCACTTCCAAACAAAGCAAAAAAAGCAAAAACACCAAAAAAGCCAAGAAAGAAAAGAACAGAAAACCCCACACATTGATATAAAGTCCTGCAAATCCATCCCAGCGACTTCCTGCTCTGCTTTGATCTGTTTTGATGATACCCTCTTGTTCATGTTTTCATTTCCTGGTTTTGTTTCTTGTTTCATATCCCCTGCTACTGTTATCACAGGTGGATAAGGTGTCTCGGGGAACTAAACATGGATTGATTTCTTCATCTTCTCTTCGTGTGTACATTTGATTGAACCTTTATTTTATTTTTCTCATATGGCAAAGAGGAGCAGAGGCGTCGCTGGAAAGAAAAAGAGGCTGGTCTGGGAAAGAACTAGAAAGAGGGATAGAAAGACATGGGCATGCATTTCGGAGTCCTGTGTTTTTGTCACCTGTGGTCTGTCCCATATGAGCTTGCTTTTATTTTTTATTTTTTTATTTTTTATCTATTTCCTTTGTCATTCATTTCCTTTGTCTTAACATTGATGATGTGATATGACTATTAAGCTTTATCAGAAGAAACTTGTATTTCTTACGATCAATCTTGTGCATGTGTAGATCCTTGTATCTGTCTGAGCTGCCTTGGTAGTACTTTCCATCAGTGGGACTCCCATCTCTGAAAAAAGTAGACCTCCCTAACCTACCCGTTTTGATATAGTGTAGAGAAAGACATAACCCTTCCCTTGACCTACTCCTACCTATCTACAAACAATCTATTATGTATACAAGATCCATACTCAACCCAGCCCCCCTCCATAGAAAACCCCTCCTTGAAACTAAACTCACATCCCCATCATCCTCTACCCAAAGATCAAGAAACTTAAGAACCCCATGACTCCTCACTTCCCACCGAATAGCGAAACACTTCGATTCCCAGGAAACCAGACAAGCCAGTGCCTGTGCCATTGTAACTCCGCCTCCCCCCGACTAACCACAATCCTTTGGGGGGGAAAAAAGTTTAAGTATAGGGAATCTAATTTTTTAGCTTCGAAATGCTAAAACACATCTATTGTATTGTATATCATATCTGGGATTTTTTTTGTTCATCTGACACTGACACTGACACTGACAGACAACTGACGTGGACAAACTTTTACTTTTCTTGAATCGCATGAGTTGCCAGCGAATGAAGTACCCCAACTACCTAAATAATGAACTGACTGAACCGAGTAGTTAGGTAAGTTAGGTAGTTGAGTTCATTCGTCCCATGTTTCATACTCCCATTGTAAAGATTGGGTTGGTTTGGGATGGACTGTATTTGTTCGAAGATTGGTCCGTAAATTGTCTCCCTTGGCTTCCGTTCCGTGGATCGCGGCTGTTTCATGTCTTTTGGAAGACCTTGTGGTTTTTGACTTCCAGTCCCAGATTCTGATTCGGATCACTTGACAATCCTTTCTCGATCCCCCCGCTTTCTCTGGCTGATGTACGTCTGTTTTCCATGGGTTGGGTTAAGTTGGGTCGGGGGGGGGAGTTGGGGTTTAAGGTTCTGTCGTTTGTTTTGCCTTGTTTGGGTTGTCTTTCTTGGGTTGTCTAGGGATGGTAAGTGGTCGTGTGTGTTCTATTAGGTGGTCTTTGGTTGAAGTTCTAGGCAAGATGAATTGAGTCTACAGGGTAAATGGTTTGTTAAATCTGGTAATGATATTTATAAGAGAATCTACCATTCTATATGTGAGTATATGCTGTATATGCAGATCCTTATGTATATACCTCTGCGTGAATCGTTCAATCATTGACTCGGTCTGGCGTTTGACTCCGGCAGTTTCCAAAGCCCCAGGAGCGTGGATGGCTAGCCATGTAGGTGCGTCCTGTTTAAGCATCCAGGTCCAAGTCCTCTAGTATCATGTTGAGTTTGTCCATCAGGATTTCATAGTCCATCGCATCCCTGCTGAACTCGTCATCCACCACCTCGCCGTCCAAAGTCTTGATGACAGGTGCTGGATCCGGTTTGTCCTGGGTTGGTGGTTCAGGCGTAGTCTCGGTGGATTCAGCGCTCTTTTTGGGATGCGACTTCGCTAGCTCGAGCTCCGCGGTTCTTGACTCGATTCCGTTCAGGTCTTTGTCAACGTGGTCGCCGTATTCTTCCTGCTCCTGCTCCTGCGGCTGTCGGGCCTCTGCATCCATCATTTCCTCCAGGCCGGCATCATCGAACCGAAGTCGGAAGCGCTCCCCTAGGTAGAAACGAATGTCATCGAGCAGTTCGATGGAGTCGGTTTCTTGTCTCCCCTTGATACGCGCAGCCGATTCTTGGATCAAATCGGAGAATTCGGGAGAGTCGATGTGAGCCTCCAGCCTGTACGCAAGATACCGAGCCGCGAACTCTTCCAGTCGCTGCACACGGGTCAACCATGCTGCACGAATAATTGCATATATATCCAAATCATCCTCTTCTTGGGTGCCGCGAGTCTTGGCGGCTTCTGCCTGCGACATATCGCCGTTGCCAAGTGTGCTGATCACAACAGCAGCCTTGGTTTTGAGTTTCTCGATGAACAGCATGTCAGCGGCGAATAGGACGTCGACTGCGATGTCAAGGGGGAAATCAGCCCTTTCGGTGTAAAGGAAAGTAAGCACAATCTCCAGGACTTCCGGAGAGCAGTCCACAGGGATAATGTTCAGGTGCTCTTTCAGATGGGCCTCTCGGAAAGAAGACGAAAACATGGTAAGGAAAAACTCAGAGCGAAGAAGCATCGCCCGATGGCACGGAAATATAACAGACTTCGGAACGGATTTCTTCGAGGCACTAGATGCGTCGACTGGCCCGACTGGAATGGTATTTGAGTTAGTACCTTCGTCTGTCTCCGAGGCGTCATCGACGTCTTCATCTTCAGGCAATTCATCCGCCTGGAGTAGAACATCGGCAAAGATGGCGTTATCATGATTCCATTTGATCTCATCAACCTTGGAAGTCTCAACTTCCATCTTGTTCCGAAGCACATTCGTTCGGAACCATTCTTCCAATTGATCTCTGCCTTTCGCAATTTCCAAGGTACGTCTCTGTCTGGCCAGTCTGCGGTCTCCGCTATCCAAAATGCTGTCCAACAGGGTGTTAATTTCCAGGTACTCGGCAATTTTGTCAATCCCAACAAAGACCTCCGATTCAGTAAACCCCGTGCTAGGCCCCGTCCTCAGGTCACGAGGGGCCTCTCCGAAATACAAATACCTGATCGCCGCCCCAAAGGATTGGGGCGGAACTGCACTTGGGAGTTCCCACGTTACAGTTTCGGGAGCGCTTTCCAATTTGTTGCGGAAATACGGAGACCGTGCTGCCAGTATGAACTTATGTAGATGTACATCCTCTTCGGCCGCGGTTACCACGATGTCGGAGGTCTCGGGGCTATCGCGCGTGAGCAGTGATGAAATGTGGGCGGCCAATGGCTGGAGAGGATCGGTGGACTTCGAATAGTCGTATTCAAGTAGAAGGTTCCGGATGCGATCATTCAATGCATTATATAGACATCTGCACACGTAGCCGGATGTCAGCTGAAGACGCAATTTTAATCCAAAGATGGTCCGGGAGGGAACGAAATAACCTTTCTCCTTGGAAGGTGTCTCGTTCGCATAACGCGCCCGATTCGAGAAGCAGCTGGACAACTTCATAATGGCCACAGAGACTGGCCTTTTCCACATATCTTGGTCACTAACTGGCCCAAAACCAACGGCTCTGCAGGACAAGGTGCGTTGCTGGGGGGTTTGCCAGGCGACTTCAAATCACTCACCAGAATCAAGGGGGTGTAGTCATAAGGATCGCGAGCATTGATATTGACACCTTCCGTGATCTTTTCCTGGCAAACTTTCAGATCCCCCTTACGACAAGCATTGCAGAGTTCCCGAAACGGCTCACTAAGATCCAGAGGGTTGTCGTCCTTGATGGTTCCCTCCTTGATCAGCTTCTTCTCATTATGTAAGCTGATTTCCAACTGATCCTTGCGAAGCACGGTCGGTTCAGCCACTGGTTCAGCCATCGTGAGACCTTCTGAGGGGTCGTGATTGATCACCGGGAGAAGCGGGCAGGCGAATAATTATGATGAAAGCCGCGGAGGTGCGGGACCGCCAAACGGTTCTGTCGCCATCCGCCCTTATCGATAAAGTTATGGTCACGTGCACTCTCTTTGAAAGGGGCTGCCGATCGGTGCAACAAGCTCGTCCTTGCAGCATCTCACGCCAGGATTCGCACTTCAGATGCAATACATTGCTCTATAATTTGTCCCTGGAGACCATCTGAAAGTTAGACAGGTGGATCTGCCACTGCATGCACCATCATGGATCTGATCAAAGAAGAGAGGAGTACTCCGTTATTGTGGATGACGAGACCAGTGATGATGCACCCCGGGCTACACCGCCCGCACTAACCATCCGCGACCGCCTGCTGCATGAAGCATAGAGTCATGGCAGCGGCGGTTGCTCAGCAACAATCACCAACTAAACATCCAGGACCTTCCAACCCCGTTGCATACTGACTTCTTTAAATCTACAACGCTCTACATGTCTTGAAATTGACCCGACAAATACTAACAGTACAGGCCTCCAACCCACTCAACCCTCCCATAGATGAGCTAGAACACACCTTCACACCTCTGCTCCCTGGTTCTCTCTCTCCTCCTCACCTTCATCTTTGTTCTCGACTCTTTGCCCAGTGGCTCGAATTCCCTTCAGTAGCCACGATGGCAATTGCACTTGCGGAGGCCGACAAGTATGAGATACTTGAGAAGATTGGTATGACAGTCTCTCCATCAACATTGTCTCTTGGGATGATAGTCTGAAACTGACTTGCCCACCAGGTTGCGGTTCTTTTGGAATCATTCGCAAAGTCAAACGGAAACAAGATGGCTTTGTAAGATTTCTTGTCTTCCTTCCAGAAGCCTTTGAACTAACACATTTTCTTCAATAGATACTCTGCCGCAAAGAGATCAACTACATCAAGATGTCCCAGAAAGAGCGTGAACAACTGACCGCCGAATTCAATATCCTGAGCTCATTGAGGCACCCGAACATCGTCGCTTATTACCACCGAGAGCACCTCAAGGCAAGCCAAGACTTGTATCTATACATGGAATACTGCGGAGGCGGTGATCTGAGCATGGTCATCAAGAATCTGAAGAAGACAAATAAATATGCAGACGAGGAGTTTGTCTGGCGGATCTTGTCCCAGTTGGTGACGGCACTCTATCGCTGTCATTACGGTGTGGATCCGGCCGATGTTGGATCCAACGTCCTCGGGCCAGCACCTAAGCCCTCAGGTCTAAAGGGAAAGCAGGCACAGATGACCATCCTGCATCGTGACCTCAAACCAGAGAATATCTTCCTCGGCAGCGACAACTCAGTCAAGCTCGGTGACTTTGGTCTCTCCAAAGTGATGGCTTCCCACGACTTCGCTTCCACCTACGTTGGTACCCCTTTCTACATGTCTCCTGAGATATGTGCCGCGGAGAAATACACCTTGCGCTCTGATATCTGGGCCGTTGGCTGTATCATGTACGAACTGTGCCAGAAGGAACCTCCGTTCAACGCCAGAACCCATATCCAATTGATCCAAAAGATTCGTGATGGCAAATTTGCTTCTCTGCCTGACTACTACTCCCCCGAGCTGAAGAGCGTCATTGCCAGCTGTTTGCGCGTGAACCCCGATCATCGCCCCGACACTGCCGCTTTGATCAACCTCCCCATCATCCGTTTGATGCGAAAGGAAAAGGAGGTCGTCGACCTGAGCCGGGCCCTGCGGAAGCGAGAAGAATCCAATCTTCAAAAGAACCGAGAGGTGGAACAGGCTTTCGCTAAGATGGAAAAGGAGAAGCAGCAGATTAAGTCTGAGCTTGAGAACACACTGCGCCGGGAGTGGGAGGTGAAGGCGCGTCTAGAGATCGACCGCCAGGTGCAGAACGAGCTGGAAAGACTTCGCAAGAGATTCGAGTCTGAGGTGCAAGATCGGGTTGCCTTGGAGGTCGAAAAGCTCAAAAAGAATGGCAACTTCAGGGACGAGCCCGCCTTCCGCTCCAGTCGCTCCAGCCGTTCCAGTCGACGAGGCTCGCAGTCATCCGTCAGTAACAACGATGATACGGATCTCCCTTCGAGTACAGACATCACCCAGCTGTCTATGGAATCGCCTGTGGCTAGTAAGCCTACCAAGAAGGAGACTCGGACACCTTTTAACCGCTCCAAAACGGTAGTTGAGTCACCTGTTGATGTACAGATGGCTGAGCCATCTCCGATTTCGATTGCGTCTCTCTCGCTGTCGCCCCGTCGCACTTCGGCGACACACTCTGGCAAGAACATTTTTGCGGAGGCTGAACGACACCGAGCCAAGTGGGAGCCCACGCTTGCCTACTCGGACGACGAAGATGACACGCCCGACCTGCCCTCGCCAACTCGGCCTAAGGTCAAACCCGATCCTTTCAAGGCCCCATCTCGGCCTCTCCTCCGTCAGAATACTGCCGCGCTTATGCAGAAACTGAGCACTCAGCCTCCTCTTTTCCCTACGAATGGCTCCAGACTACCTCAGGCATCAGGTCAGTCCGAGGGCCGCCACGGCGAACAGAAGTCCAGGTCGCCCCATCGACGCTTGTCAAAGATTGCATCATCAGCGAACCTTGCTGCCGATGCCGGATCGCCAACCCGTAAGACGGGCACGAAGCAACCCCCTTCTAAAGTCAACGGCGGTGGCGAGGAGATGTTCAAAGCCGTCATGCAACGCAACATGGGCGGCAGAACCCTGGTCGAGCTTGCTCAAGCACGGGCCGGTGGACGGCCTATGGATGAAGTCAAGCGATCCGCCAGCGATACCAGGACTTCTAACAGTATGAAGTCTTCGGTCGAGCGTGATCCTCCTGCTGTATGGGATCCCGAAAGAGACGAAATGCCCAGTCCGTTCCTGGCTCGTGGCCGCAAGGTTATCCGCAACTTGAGGTAACCCCGTACCGGGGTCATCTTACTCATTCGCTGTCTACGATATTTCCGGTTGATCCGTTGAAGTCACTTCTCAAAACTGGAAGAGCGATGACTGCGTCCTTTTCGGTGACTCGCATTCTCCTCTTTCTTATCTCATACGTCTTAATAATTACGCATTTCTGGCGTTCAAAGGCCCTGAGTGGAATGCATTTTCAAGAGCGAAATTACCCATGCGAGTCATGGATCCTCGATGCATTGATCTCGTGCCGCTTTATTTCTTCTGCTTCTTCTGTCTAGACTTCTGTTTTGGAAGTCCTTCTACACTGAGACCCCAACACTCGTTATTTCCTTTGTTCTTGACGCTGTGATGTCCCCGTTACCTATTTGCCTCCTTCTTATTCCTTGGAATACTGTACAGCTACTTTTGCATATGACAGCCGGTTTTTTTGTGTGGTTATGTTGATTTTGGGTGGTCTATCCTCTTCCAGTCCGGGCTTTTCTTTGACCTTTCTATTTCAACCGCACGCTGGATGGTTTGATTTTTTTTTTTCTCTTTATGAAGAGTAATCTGCCTTCCGGTGTGATTGATGTGGATTGTGGTCTTTCACTCGTTTCTATCCCTGGACTGCTTTCCTTTTTCCCCTTTGTCTTTTGGTCTTGTTCCAATGGACAGGCGCTTATATTGGTGTTTTCTTTTCTTTGGTTAGGCGTTAATGGGTCTTCTCTTTTTTTCTCCTTTTTCTTCCATACGTATGTACGTACATATTGATTTTTGTTTTTCTTATTTTTGTCTTCAGTTTTCGTGATGAAGTTCTGCTATAGAATTGCGGAATATTGATCGGATTACGTATCCTTGAGGATGGTGTTGATTTTTCATGACTATGTCTGGGACGAGAGTGTGTAGAGACGTAATGGGTAGACAAGACAGATATATGGAAGTTCTGATTTGTTTTTGTACTGTACAAGGCTTTTCTTCTTTTTTTGCGGAAGTGGAACTAGCCGGTGGGAATTAGTCCTAGCTGTGTGGCTATTCATCGAGGTATGGGTCTCGGTCACGCCTCTTCGTCTTCGACTTCTTCGATCTGCACAGATTTCAGTTCCTGGTTGAACCGTCGTTCCTCTTCCAGGAGTCTGCGCTGGGTATCATCATCAATTTCGTCTCCATCATCACCACCCGTGGCGCCTTGTTGATTCGTGCCGTCATGTTCCCCGGTCTGTGTAGGGCCAGCTTTATATCCTGCTTTCTCGAGGCGGTCCATTTCCTCAGGTTCAAGTAGTTTCCCTTGCCCTCGGATAGACTCCTGTTTTGCCCTGACGGCTGCAGGCACAAACATGTTAATAGCTTCCTGTCGCAGGTCCTTGATCTCCGGCTTGGCTTCGTAGACTGTCTTGGATTCCGTGACGGGGGGTCTCGCGGGCAGCGCATGCGGTCCCTGGGGACCACCAGGACCAGAGTCCCCGTCCCTTCGTTTCTGGTATTGTCGGGGTATAGGAGGCGGCGTATCCCGGGGCATTGGAATCCGTCGGACCTCCTCATCCGTCTCGCTGCTGTCACTGTCCTGTCCGAAGCGCTGTCCTCTATGGCCGTGTCCCTCCCGTCGTCTCTTCCCTAGCACTCCAGGCCCATCGCCCCGACCCTCGTGTCCTCTGTGTCTAGGCCCCGAGCTCTCGAACTTCGGCGCCTTGTCACCGAGTGCTTCGCGCGCCTTCTGCACAGCCCGTAGATCCCGCTCCAGCGCCTCCAGGAGCTCCTTGTCGCGCGGCCGCAGCTGCTGGCCCGTCTCCTCTAATGATTTCAGGTCGTTGATCTGTCGTTGAATGCGCTCGGGGTTGCGGCGCGCTAGCTTCTCGTTCCGGCGGGTCAGCGCCTCGGCTTTGCTTTTTTTGAGGTTCTTCTGCTTGTCGAGTTTGCGTTGCGCCGCGGCGGGGTTCATCGATCGCTCTTTGTCTTTGGGCATTTTGGGGGAGGTGATTTGTGATGGTGCTGTTTGAGTTGGGGTAGGAAGATTCGTCTGGTGGAGGGGTTATGAGTGAGAGTCGATGTTCGATTGATTTAGGTGAAGATTATGCGGAAGGGTTGCCGGTGGCCGAATAGTTGGATAGTACACCTGAAATAACAGAAACGCAAGGATTAGCTTCTCATCTATTCTACCCTTGGATTTTCCCCCGCTTCCTGTTGGTAGGTGCTCCGAGTGATACGACCGACAAACAGCTCAGGTCTAGGCTGCTAGCTCTACTAGGAGCTTTCTCTGCGTGAAACCTGGCGCAAACGCCGCCGGTCCGTCCCCGCAAAAAAAAACAAATAAAACCGAGAAAAGAAAAAAGAAAGAAGAGATGAGAGAGGAGAAGCCCAACCAACAAGATGGAAGAGAATCTTACAGGCTAAGATCAAAAGCCCCGAGATATTAATCCGGGAAAGAAAAATGACGGATGCGCGCGCTATTTTGCAGCGAGTCAGCGCGGACGTCTCGGACTTTCCCCCCAGGTGCAAGGAAAGCAGAGATCAAGAAGAGAGGTCCAATCAATAATTCGAAAGAATATGTCGCCGCGGGATTTTAGCCTCACTGGTTGGGCAGCGGGATTTTAGGACTAGGTTTCCTTGTTTCGACTGGATGGAATGAACAATCGGCGATAGGATGGACGGGATGGTGGGCGTTTGCAGAAGCGCTAATATGCGGCGAATCTGGGGCGGTGTGATTGCCGATCGGTGGGTGGGGAGAGGAACGGATTGGACGGGATTGGATCGATTTGGGTGGAAGGAGAATAGATGTTGGATGGATGAGATGCAGAGTTGTAAAGATGTAGAAATGTAGAGGTGGATGAGGAGAGCCGAAGTGGTGAAGGGAGGAGAGCAGGTGACCGCGGCTGCCGTTTACATAGTAGTACCGTACCTTTACTATGAGAATCTGATATGGAATCCAGTGATAGAACCAATGCAATAGTTATTTACATACTGTAAGTACACTCTACCTAATTCGAATAAATCAAGAATAAACCTGATATGACATGATCCTATCTAGAGAGCATGTTCTATGGCATCACTAAGCATCGGGATATCATCATATCGAATCGGCAAGGCTGATCCAGGGCTCGCCTCCATTCCTTTCATTCATTCGCTCTCCGGCCTTCTTCTCGTTCCTCTCCCATCCTCCCCGTCCGAGGCATCCCTGAGGATCTTTCGGCTCCGTCTTCTACATCGAATCGCATTCTTGTCAGTGTAACCCCGACTCCTTCACGAGGAATTTCGCCTGCTCCGTTTCCTCCCACCATCATCCCTCTCTACCTCCAATGTCACTTCAGATATCGCACCTTGGAGGCCCTCTTTCGTGCTGACATTGATCCTTTTTTAGGCGAGAAGACGAGAAGATCCGACACGAAAATCCGGACAACCGCAGAGGAAGAAACCCATTATTAATTCAATTATCTGAAGCCATACTTTATCTTATTCCCATCCTTTTCAAAGATTAAATTAATAAAAACAGAAAGAAAAGGGAAAAATCAAAAAGAGAAAGGAATCATCGTGCCAAGTCGAATTCAAGTCCCCCTCTCTCTCTCTTCTATTTTTTTTTTCTCTTTCTTTTCTTTTCTCCCCCTGATTCGATTTCCACTTTCTGCACTTGTTTCGGTCATCATCATGAACTTCGGTCCGTCCCATCTCCACACATCGAGATCGACCGGCGCTTCCTAGACACCTGTCGCGGTTGGAGCATGTCTCTGCCGGGACCAAATGTCCGTATCAGCCTCGATCCCCGACACTTCGCTTGGCCTTACTTCCTCCGAGATCCAGATCCTCCGGCAACAACAGCAGATTGCGCTACAGGGTGGCCATGCCGGAAATGGGATTTCCAGGGGCAGAGGGACCGGCCGAACCAGCAACTCCAGTTCGCGTGCCGCCAGCGCCGCCAGCAGCCACGGTCGTTTGTTGTTGGATCCTATGAGTCTTCGAGCGCTCTCCCATCAGTTGGACGCTTTGCAGGAACAGATTCGGAGTCGCCTCGACTATGTACGTTGCCTCCCACTTTCCCGCTTTCTCTGCTATCGATCGCAATCACTTCACCTCTTGCGTCCCCCGCGCGTTCCTCGAATGCATTTGCTCCCTTTGCTTCTGCCTCTCTCTCAACGCAATGATACCCATTCCGGCGACTCCCAAGTTGCGGAAACATGTCAGACGATCGATGTCCCACAGCACCTGTCCCACTTGCATATCCTCATATTGCCTGCCCAGTAAACTGGATACTAACGTTGAAATCTATCGCAGCTCGAGGAACAAATGCAACTTTCGCTTCAAAACAGTTACGACCGCGCCGGAAACGTCATCTGCAACGCCGACGCCGAGATTGCCCGCACTCGCTCGATCCTAGCCTCAATCGATGAATTGGAGAATGAGATGGCAAAGATTGGACATATCAGAGAAATTGTGAAGGCCTACCGTGGCCGAATAGAAGGACTCGACCAACGTCTTGACCAGGCCGCCCGTCGCAGACGTTAATGCGCGCCCTTAGTCCTATCCGGCCGGTCCCATTTGGCTCGCCGAACCACTCTCTTGGATCATGTTCTGCCATTTCACTCCTGCGTTCATTCAGCTTCTTCCATTCTCGACCACCCTGAACGATATACCTGCCCTGGAGGCACTTGCTCAATTCCCCACGCTCCCTGTTCCCGACTACCCACACACCTCTTGACGCCTTTTGATTTCCTTTATGTCCCTGGATGATAACGACCATGACTTACAACACGATACTACCAGCACGATCAAGTACATCCACTATCAAACCTCTGAAAAACGAAAGAAGGAGCTATGCCTGAAAACAGATTGCCCCCGAAGGGCAAAAGGAGACCCAAGTGTTTATATACCGCTCTTGTCCTCACGGACCCTGTGTTATTACGACTTATGCCTCTGTTGCAAGCGTTTGATGACTGATTTAATGCCCATATGCAGCATGAGTGCTGCGCTGAAGGAGATTTCCTTTTCTTTTCTTTGTCCGTCTAGCTTGGTGCTTTGGAGAGGATCGTTGTCTAAAGACTGAGATACCTGCCTCGCGGCAACTTTGGATTTTATACTGAATCAAAAACCGACAGGAATAAGCATGGTGTTCGCCCCGGAGTCCCTTTTTGTTTGTCACTATTCTTTCATTTTCCATCTCTTTTATTTCCTATTTGGCGATTGTTTTTGTTTGGTCAACTTGGATATGCTGTCTCTTGTATGACGTTGCGATTCCCCGATCTGCATTCCCATCCATGTGTTTTATTGAGCGGCTGTCACACTTCTAGGTACAATGTGTTTGTTCACCAGGATTTTTTTGTTATGACCTTCAATGAGAGAGCCCCAGCGTGGCTAGCGGGCTTTTGATGTTTTTCCATTTGATAGTGTTTCTCGTTGAGATTATCTGTCGTTCCCACGGCTGTTCCCCTTCTAGACCGTACCACTTGAATCATATCGTTCTATCAGAACTATCGCATCAGCCTCCATGCAGCCTCTGTAACGTCGGTGCTGGATTGGTCAAGATTATGGCTGTTTCATGCTGTGTTCGCGACTTGACGATGGTCATCCAACCGCATTGCGATACCTTGTACTCTCACAAGGCTTGTGCCAATTGCGGCGGTAACACCGCCCCTTGAACGAAAATGTTCGTACAATCGCTTTCAGCAAGGTTTCATGGTGCCGTCACTGAGTCCGTCAACTCATGGACAGCATCCGAGGTAAATCATGTGAATGGTCATAGCGCCAGAGGACACCTGATTGAGGGTGACTTCTGAAGCTAGGCAGACAAAGCACGGTAGTACTACCGTACCATCAAATCATGGATTTGCCGCCTGTGATCAAATACACAGTTATACATCGGAGCTCAAGGTACTGTCGCTGTTTTCGCTGTCTGTTCTTGCATTTTGCGACGTTCTGGCAACTTTTGGCTCCTTTTTTCTGTTTGAGGAAAACGCTTTTCTGTGCCGCACGTGGTACATCGTACGACCAGAACATCCGCCCATGGCTTGCTGCGGCCACGGCTGTCATTCCTGACCTCCTGGGTAGAATTGACACCAGGAACCAGATGCGACTCGCAGCGTTTACAGAACGACCGTTTCACATCGACCGGAAGCCGAAGCTGGGACTTCAAAGACACCCCGCGCATGTGAGAAATGAGCACTCGCGAAAGGCGCGAGTTATGACTAGTTGGGGCTCGAACCGGCGTACTTTTGGTACAAAGAGGTTCCTCGGACATCGCCACATCATTGCTCACAACTTGCGGCACAATGCGAGCTGAAACGGACTTCGATTCTTTGTCCTCCGCTTCGGCGCTCTCGCGGGGACCCAGGTCTGTAGGTCGTTTGGAGGGAATTTCTCCCGTTTGTAGATATGTAGCAGCGGCATGCAGATAATTTAATCGGGCGCGGATGTGACTGTTCACTCCTCCCGCCGAGCCCTTTTTGCCCTTGACTTTGGCCATCTCGAGGCGCTGAGAATCGATGGCGGCGCAAGAAAGAAGACCGCAAACAGACCAAACGGATAGAAGCTTCGAGTGGCAAATATCAGCGCTAAGCCGAACAAAGAAAGACTGCTTACTGTGACTAATAGACAGCACGTGACCTGCTGCCTTTGAACTCGCTCGCCTTTCATCCCTCCCGCGACTCGACTTCGCTCTTCTCCCCCCAACTCCATCGCCTCCCTCCCTCATCAGTCTTCACCCGTCCTTCAATTCATCTCACAGAATTCAGGAGGGTATTCTTTTGATTTTCACGGCTCTTTTGCTTTCTCTTTCTCAACTTCAAACTCAGTTTTTCTTTCCTTTTGATCCGCTACCGTAAACTCCAAGCTCTCGCCGCTTCTCAGAAAAGAGCGCGCCGCGACACCTAGAGTTTTCTCTTTCGCCCATTCGGTCAACTTTAATCTTACAACCAGCAATCAACATGTCTCACGAGGAAGATCTCATTGACTACTCCGACGAGGAGCTTCAGACCACCGACGCGGCCGCCGCCACCACCGCCGCTCCCGCTGCGAATGGAGATGCCGCCAAGAAGGGCGACTCTGCCGCTGCTGGTCCTGACAAGAAGGGAAGCTATGTCGGTGTTCACTCGACCGGTTTCCGCGACTTTCTGCTCAAGGGCGAACTTCTACGTGCCATCACCGATTGCGGTTTCGAACATCCTTCGGAGGGTTAGTTCCATCACATAATTCTTTTCCACAAGTCTCCCTCCATAGCTCCGTTGTTCCTACGTCCGTCCATCTCCGCGAGATATATTCTATTACAAGTCGCAATGGGGCCACCTGTTTTCCGGTTTTCGAGCTTTGTGGACGGCATGAGGATATCTTCTTTGGATTCCTTTTCAAGACAAAACACAAAGAAGACAAAGAAACACGCGCATTGCGCCGGTGATAAGAGCTCCTATCCGAGCCTGCCGGGTTCTTTTGTCTTGCTCTTCTCTCTGTTCTCTCGCAAGATAACGGTGAGATCAAGATTCGTAAAGAATCAATACTGGGAATTCGCGTAAAGCAATTCCGGTTGAAACCGTGGTGTCTTCTTGACTGTTTTTCTACTATGAAAAAAAGAAGACACGGTACATTCTTCTGGTCACCCACTTTGTTTCACGGACTCTAGATGTCCTCATGCCGTCTGCATGAAAGCTCGTGGTAGAGATTATCATGGCTGCAGCTGAACACATCTGCCGCTGCCGACCTGTGTGCTTCCTCTCTCCTGGGTTTCTTGGTGCCGAAAACACCCCAAAAGAAAAAATACTGCACCAATAGCTTGAAATTTTCGACGGCTCGGAGGATGGACGGACTTTGCGACGCGGATATTGCTTTTCTTTTTACAAAATCTTATACATCGAACACAAGTCTAACATACCGTGCCGCATCACTACAGTCCAGCAAAGCTGCATTCCTCAGGCTATCCTCAACGTCGATGTTCTGTGCCAGGCCAAGTCTGGTCTCGGAAAGACTGCCGTCTTTGTCTTGACCACTCTTCACCAGCTGGAGCCCGTTCCTGGAGAGTGCTCTATCCTTGTTATGTGCCACACGCGTGAATTGGCCTACCAGATCAAGAACGAATACGCTCGTTTCAGCAAGTACCTTCCCGATGTGAAGACCGCCGTCTTCTACGGAGGTACTCCCATTCAGAAGGACATCGAACTCTTGTCGAACAAGGAGACCTACCCCAACATTGTTGTCGCCACCCCCGGTCGTCTCAACGCTTTGGTCCGCGACAAGAAGATCTCCCTACGCAACGTCAAGGCGTTCGTTCTCGACGAGTGTGACAAGATGCTTGACCAAATTGGTGGGTTTTCCGAGCCTCCATCCTTGTCACCTATACTAACTCAAGTACAGACATGCGCCGTGATGTTCAGGAAATCTTCCGTGCCACCCCCGCCGACAAGCAGGTCATGATGTTCAGCGCTACTCTGTCGCAAGAGATGCGCCCCATCTGCCGGAAGTTCATGAGAAACCCTCTCGAACTGTTTGTGGATAACGACGAGAAGCTTACCCTCCACGGTTTGCAACAATACTACATTAAGCTCAGCGAAGCCGAGAAGAACCGCAAGTTGAACGAGCTGCTGGATAGCCTCGAGTTCAACCAGGTCATCATCTTCGTCAAGAGTACCGTTCGCGCTAACGAGTTGGACAAGCTGCTGCGCGAGTGCAACTTCCCCAGTATTGCTGTCCACTCTGGCGTGAGCCAGGAGGAGCGGTAGGTTCTTCTTTTCTGGAATATTAGACACTTTGCTGACAAAGCCACAGTATCAAACGCTACAAAGAGTTCAAGGACTTCAACAAGCGTATCTGCGTTGCCACTGACGTCTTCGGTCGTGGTATCGATATTGAGCGTATCAACCTTGCCATCAACTATGACCTGCCTGCCGATGCCGACTCGTACCTGCACCGTGTCGGTCGTGCGGGTCGTTTCGGTACCAAGGGTCTGTCGATCTCCTTCATTAGCAGCGAGGACGATGAGAACGTTCTCAAGGAGATTGAGAAGCGATTTGTTGTTGCCCTTGAGTATGTATCTTCTATCCCAGTCGAATCTGGTCAGTAACTAACGAATTGTTCAGTGAATACCCCGAGGGCGGTGTCGACTCCTCTACTTACATGGCTTAAGCGGTGAACGTCTAGCTTGATCAGTTGCCCTATGTCATGTGGAGTCGAACTTGTATTTGGTGAAATTTGCTCTTATCTCTTTTCTCATATTCTTCTTTGCTCTTTGATTTCCTTTGCTTATCTATGTTTCATTTTCCTTTGGCGTGATGGTTCGGATGTGATTTGTCTCCGTCAAGTGTCTCTTGTCGCTTCTGAGGCACTGGGTTTGAATTGATGGGAAAAGGATCGGGGACAACTGGAAGGGAAAACTACTCGATCTTCAATTATAATCAACGAGGTGCCTTCAATGACAACCTATGTACCAGTGTCTCTGTTAGTCCTTGTATTATCAATTCATTTGCTTTTCGGCTTCCTTGGATTGTGATCATATTGTAGCGTAGGAGTTGTTGTTTACGTGTAACTGTTCAGCAAAGACACGTAAGTTCTACAAAATCTTCGAAGAGAAAGATCTAATGAGCGTCAATCTCAATTCCCTAGCTGAATAACAGATCAGAAAACAAACAGACAACCGTCTAATAGTAGACCTCGAACACTAACTAGTAAAACCACTACGGAGTACGACAGACCCAAGCCATCGAGCCTGAAACCGGCCGACCAAATGACCGAACACCCTTTCCTGTCGTTCGTCTTCGTCCTCGTCACCCAGATCTGTCTACACTAGACTAGCCCGTCTACGGTGTAGGTAATGAGAAAGTGAGTGAATGGTTCGCCATCCTCGCCCCACTCCCTAGACCGGGTCAATTTGAGTTTTTTAAGTTTCAGATGGAATGGGTGAGGGCTGCGGCGGTGGTGGTTTCAGCGATGAAAGATGGATGGGACCTGGAAGGGGTAATCGTCTAGAATCGGATTGGAAGTTTTGGAAGGTTGTTGATCGGTGTGCTCTGTAGGTGAATGGGTGTTTCGATTCGTGGGTGGGTGGGTAGATTGGGTTGGGTATGGTGATGTAGTATCGAATGTGGATGGATGGCTGTTTTCGATCGAAGTGAATGGCTTTGTTTGAATCACATGGGATTGATCGTGAGGGTTCTGGCTTTGGTTTGGGGGATGATAAGATGTGTTGAATCATTTGCCTCTCTGCTTTTGGAGGACTGGAATGTTTGGACTCGGGGTGATGGCTGTTTGCGGGAGGAGGGGAGGTTGTTCTCGGTATGGACACTCCGTTCGTACTTTTGATCTTTTTTTTTTTTTTTTTTTTTCTGATGATGGTTTGTTTGTTTCTATGGTGGCGGTTTAGGTACGTACTTTTCTATTGCTACAGATTGAATGCACTCGCTTCCTTAATGGGTGGGAATTTGGTTTCGGACTTATGTATCTCTGGGCTGACATTCTATATCTGTGTGCATCTTCACGCACAGACGCTGTTCTAAGGTGCATAGATAAGCCCATATATGCAACTTGCAATTTATACAGAATTTTGCATCTAAGATAACTCATTATGTACTGTACTAAAAACCTACACTGCTTGCTGTAACTTGATGTAGACTGGTCCTATCTAGAATCACAATGTTAGGTGAGGGTAGATATTCCCGGGTGGACTACACCGGAGTAGGTAGCCTAATTAAGGCAGCCTGGTTTACTACACGGTACTGAGTATCTGGTGCTCTTTTACTTAAATGATTCTGTCTGATTCCCTAGTTATCATCTTAGTCTTTTAGATAAGTAAGCATCACCCAAAGCCTACTAGATCGACACCCTAGCTCCTGGATTAACCAGCGATAATCAAGAAATCGCTTATGCACGAAAAAGGGGAACCCTACCCAAATCCACAGAAGCTGAGCACATCCATGCTAATAACATGCATATCCCCTAGAAAGGAATCAAAACAACGCAACGACCAAAAAACACGAGAGAGGTATAATTTCAAAGAAGAAGAAACGGATCGAAAGAGCCCCAACCAAAACCGCACACCAAGCATCCAGACCAACACGGACCAGAGCATATCCATCCACCTCACATACCCACACCGTTTACTACTCGCGAATCGCCATCGACTGGCAAGCCAGGACGGGAGAAATGGCAGACGTCACGACTGCGGATGGATCCTCTCTCCTACCTACCCCGCAAGACCAAGCGACACGAGTCCCCCCCGTCGAGAGTCTCTCGGTCTATACTCTATGGGGTAGTTATGTACGTATCCGAGTGAACGGCCGCGTAGATCGCCGATAGACAGCGTGAGAAAGTCTAGTCCGTCCTCCGGTCGAGCTTGTCAATGTTAGGCAGTTAGTTCCTCGTGGGAGCTTAATCCGGTCGAGTGAGTTACAACTACAAGAAGCTTCGGCTCGGGGAAGATAGGCGTGCGTAATGATAGTCGTATCGTCGAGGTCTAGAGATGTGGCGAAGTCGCGATGGTCTAGGTGTCTGGGTCCACTTGCTGGCGTGAACTGATTAACTTGCTAAGTAGGAATCATGCTATCTACGTGATATGGGGTACGTGGTTATCCAGTATTTAGTATCTAGTACGGAGCTTCTGTGTCCGTGTGGCTTTTTTTTTCACTGGCTAAATGCTTCAATGCTTAGGTGTTTGGTCTTGTGCTGGAGCGTGGTCTAGTGGGACAAGCTTGGATGGATTAGGGATCGGTCCGTTTTCGATGGCGTCGGGACTAGAATGTTATAATTTTGATTTTGATTTTTATTCCCGTTTGAATTTTTTTTGTAGTTTGTATTATGCTCGGGTTGGGTCTTTAGCTATGGCCGCGTTCGATAGGCCACGCGGTAGGGAAATAAGGGACTCGGCCTATCATTATTCGCTTTCGTAGATCGTCTCGGCTGGGGTGATGATCGTTAGATGTCGATGCTTATATGTCAACATGACGAAACCCAGTTGCAGATATCGAGATGTGGACTGCGGACTATTGAGGGACAGAGGTTACTATGTTAGGACACGTGGGAAGGTCAAACTGATTTATTTGTTGCGTTGAACCGCTGTTGCGGTGGAATTTGGCTGAGGTATGGACTATGGAGATGGATATATAGTTCCGTTCGACTAAACTAGAAGTATAGCAATTGCCGGACATCACCCATTGCCATATAAAGTTGTATATATTGATATCCTCGATTTGCATAGTACTCTGTATGGTCATCAATTGAACCAAATAGTGATCATCCTACACTCAAATTGCTACACAGTGTACTGATCAGTTCAACCACCGACGGCAACCCTATAAAAGCCGCCGTATATGATTTCCGTCCGCGAAGCATTCCACAGCTCCGTAGTCCGTACGTTCTCGGGGAATGATCTCAGAGAGAGAAAACGCAGCGCCAATATTGTAACCAACCGGGGGTTATAATTGGAAGAAATCGACCCGTACGGGCCCCACGCGTGTCCGCCGCCCGGCCAGAGATAGAAACGCACTAAAACGTAGCTAAACCGAAGACAGCGCCAGGCTCCACCGATGTTTTGGTCAATCGGACTGATCGTCGTCTCCAAGGGCCTGGACCTTGGTTTCGTGCCCGCCAGAAGTTGGAAATTAGTGTCGGTCGCTTTCTTGTTTTTCTCGTTTTATGGCTCGTTTGGGGTGGTTCGTTTGGGAGGATATCTGGATGTGGATGTTAAGTCCGTCATGGAATCAATTGACTTGATAGGATCGTACTGAGTAAATGAAGGAACGAGATGAGATACCTCACGGTCGGCATTCGGAATCCAGCCTCAGTTCGCCGTTAAGGTCACTCGGCTTGAGCATTCCTCGTTCTGCAATCAATTTCAAACATTGGCAACAAGCCACGCCCGTCGGTTCGAAACGGGATATTTATTATGATTTCATTTTAATTTATCCCATTCCCGAATCAGCGCGCATGGGACGGTCCGATAACGACTGACTGCCGCAGCATCCGGGAGGACACATAACAGACCAGCCAGACAACTCGACTAAAGCCTAAAGGTCCTGACGGTAATGTGCATCGGACGCTGAGACGGTACCTGGCATGGATCATGATGCGTCCTGCATCGAGTTGATAGCTGCATGGTCGAGACGGTGACTATTTTCTCATTTTTCAATCTCTGCAAACGGCCGGCTCCCAAGATGCCTCCCAGAACGGACATCCTGGTATGAAGTTTCCCGTCGATCCCTACCTGTGGCATGCCGGAAAGAATCAACACTGCCTCCCCCTTCCCGATGTTTCCGTTGTCCGATCTGAAATTCTTCCATTATTGAGGATGATTGCTTACTTGTGATCGGAGAGGGAAGGAATATCGAGGTCAGCTGAATAGGGTTGTTCGTGAGCAGTATCATGGTTAGGAGATCGAGAAATCAGCACCCGTTTGGGGGTATCGCTCTTAACAGTATCGACTAAGAGGGGAATATCCTTATTATAGGAACAATTATTAATTGATCATGCCGAAATATCTCCTCGGGGGCTTGTTTGTTTGTGCTACCCATTCCTGCCCGTTGCGAGGGAAGTTGGGAAGGAAATATTCTGGCCCTCCTGAGTTACACTGTTCCCGGGGGATGGTTGTTTTGGCAATCGACCCAGGGCTTTCTGAGGCGGATCATCAGAATTCAAAATAATAATATAATCATCATCATCACAAGCAAAGTCAAACCCTGCACTCCAGTCTAAAGGCCAAGGAATCTTGGATAAGCGGATAAGAAACAAGTCCGTTCCAAGATTCAACGGAGTTTGGGGCACCGACGATAGACTGATAGACAGATATTTAATTCATCGGCGGTTCCCACTTCCCACTCTTCTCGTTCACCAGGTTCTTCTAGCTCCCTACTAGAAGGAGCTACGACGGGGACGAGGTTTCAACCTCCAGCCTCCCGGGAAGAAAGAGTTTGTTCTCTCGCTCTCGTTTCGGCTTTTCGTTTTCTTTTCTTTTCTCGAGAGGAGGCGGAGGGGCGCACTAAGCAGACCCAAACCTGAAGCAGGCTCGGCCATTCTACTAAACCGATAGACTAAATCTAGTCGGCTTTAGCTCTGTTCTGGCTGATTGCAGCGACGGGCGAAACCCGGTTTTGACCTGACCAACAGTCCCCAAGTGGGCTTTTTGGCGACGGGAGGATGTGCTTTTGCCTTCTCGATGGTTGGCTCAACTAGTGAGCTGTGGGTTTTTTTCGTTGTCGTGTCTCATCTTCTTTTTTCTTTGCTATCCACTTCACCCATCACTTTTATTAGTATCATATTATTATGATTAGTCCTCGGTTTGAAGATGTTTGTCGCTCCTCTGTACCCAGTACTACTCGCTGTGTTGATGCCCCAATATTTCCCCAGCAGCTATTTGAGCCGGTCGTGGTTCGTCGGATGCATGATGAGACATGGGACCTGGAGATCAAAGACATCAATCTATATCCATAAATATTATTAATCTTTATTCGGGCCTAGCGAATGTGCCTGCTCAGCTGCTGCGTACAGTGAGTGCGGCAGTGCGCCTTGTGCCGGAATCCCTGCACCATATCCTAACCTAGTAAGAAGAAGTATACCGGGGGGAACGAGCCATCCGCTAATGCTGCTACCTAATCTTGGGCGGAAGTCCTTGACTGGACGATTCGATTATGAATCATCGTACCTGGGCAGTCACCATTTATCATTATTAAGATTATGTAGGGTTGATGTGAAAAGAAGACCAACTAGCCTTAGTCTATCGGTCCGACTGCGTGCACCGTAGGTGATTAATCTTGGGTTCCAATTTCAGGACGACCAACACTATCACGATCTCAACTGAACATACTCTCGTCACTCATCTGTCCTCCTCATCGACCGACTGTTTTCGCACCTCAAAGTGTCCGTTGGCAGTATTCCCATCGTCTCCTTGGCTCCGTTTCCGGTTCGAGCCCTGGCGGGGGATCCACGACCGTTGAGAGAGCCTTGATTATTGGTCTGCGTAGCAAAGGGAAAAAGAAGATAAAAATAAAAATAAAATAGTTCAGGTTAAAAAAAAAAGAAAAAGAAAAGGGAAAAAAAGGAAAAAACAAAAAAGATAACTCTCAGTCAGTCACCATCACTCCATAAGCTCCTCTCTCTGGGCTGTTTTTCGGCCTAAAAGTGACCCATTCCATCGTGCTTTCAACTCCCCCTCTCTCTATCTGACTGACTGATTGATTGATTCAACTGAACTGGACTGGACTTCTCTCCTCCTCTCCTCCTCCCCTTTCTCTAATCCCTCCCCTCCCCCCATCCCATCCCATCCCATCCTCTCCCTATCTCTCTCCCCCTACAACATTTTCACCGTTCCCTCCTTTCGTTTTCCTTATCCCTTTTCTACTTTCAATTTGGTCTTTTTCGTTTTTCTCTTTTAGTGATTCCCCTTACCTTCGTTTTTCTTGAATCTTTTTTCCCTGCCTTCCCGCCGCCTGGACCCTGCTTCTCTCTTTTTTTTTATCGTTTCCAATTTCACGTCCTTGACCAGCCCTGCTTCGGTCGCCATCCTGCGTTCGTTGATCTCGTGGAAGTTATCGTCAACCGCGCCGTATTATTGCCGTTGAGGAGTTTCCTGGCCCCAGCCCAAACGGTCCATCGATTCTTTCGACTTTTTGGCTGGCGGGAAAGCTTCCTTCCATTTCGGTTCGATCATCATGGCTCCTCCGCCGCGCTTGCGCATTTTATCAGGTGTGTACTCTGTCCCCGTCAACGATCTGCAAATCGCTCTTGGAACTTGGTCCTTGATTTCCGAATCATTTTCCCCGACTGGATCTCGTCAAGACGTTTTTTCCCTTCACCACCGAAAATGTATCAAACGGACCGTTATCTAACGCGAGTCTGTGTAGTCGGGAGCAATGCTATCTCGGCCTTCCTTTCCTGGAGACTTCAGGCGACCACTTCATGCGACGTGACGCTGGTTTGGAAATCGGGGTTCGAGGCTGTGGCCCAATACGGTGTTTCTTTCAAGTATGGCTCTTTTCGGGTCCCCCTTTCTCTTGGAACGATTTACTTATTGATGAATAGGTCGAAAGCATTCGGCAATGAACGGTTTAAGCCGCGACATGGTACGTTTCCCTGTTCTTACGTTGAAAGAAACCCGATAGACTAACGCGTGGTTCCTACAGTGGTCCGTACGCCGGAAGAAGCTGCGTCTCGAGAAAATGCCTACGACTACGTTATCCTATGCGTCAAGGCCTTGCCCGATGTCTACGATCTGGCGTCCGTCATCGAATCCGTCGTTACCCCTCAACACACCTGCATCCTCGTGAACACGACAAATACCCTGGGAGTCGAGTCGCATCTGGAGCAGCGGTTTCCGACCAACGTCGTTCTTTCGCTGGTTTCGGGGGTGGAGATTTCGCAGATTGGAGCCAGCGAGTTCGAACACTTGAACTCGTCCGATATTTGGATCGGTTCCACCAACAAGCAGACCAACGTCCCCAGCTCCATCCAAGGCGATATGGCCGCCGCGCTCGCGATGACCCTGGGATCGGGGCAGGTGAACTGCACAGTATCGAAAAATATCCGCCAGGAACAGTTTGAGCGTATGATCGGGTAAGCCTCGTGAACCTTCCGTGGTTAATTTCTTGTGAGAACAACTGCTAATCCTCTTCAGACCTATTGCATTTTATCCCACTAGTGTAATGTTTGAAACTTCCAACCACACGCAGCTTCTCGAGAAGGTTGGCGTGCGTCAGCTAGTGACGGGTGTCGTCGAAGAGCTTATCGAGCTGGCAAAAGCGAACGGGTGTTCCTTCCCCAGTGATTTCAGTGAAAAGACGATCGCGAGCATGACGGCAAGCGGATCACCGAGCGCAATGTATCAGGATTTCCAGTCCCGACGTCCGATGGAAATCGAAACCTACTTGGGATCTCCCATCAAACTGGCGACCGAATCCGAAGTCCGGATCCCACGCGTTGAGACTCTTTACGCAGCGCTTCATCACATCAATGCCACCAACCTCAGCAAGCCTCGCGAATCTCCACCCCCCATGCCGGCTGCCGCAGCTGCTGGAGCCCCTGTTCCTCCGGGCCCGCCTCCTCGAATGTCGTCCGCTCCCCCTCCGAGAGCAATGATGAATGGGCCTATGCGCCCGGGCCCCGGCGGGAGAACGAGTACCGGTATGCCAATGCCCGGAAGACGGGGACCCCCTGGACCGCCGATGCCTGGGATGATGAGACCCCCCAGTGCCCAGCCTCAATCGGCTAAAATGCCTCGCGAGCCTTCTTTGGAGGGTCTCGAGGAGTTCAGCCACCTAGTCGTCTATGACGATGGTGCGGCTGCGGCCGGTGAAGGTGGCATGCCTCACCAGAACGGTAACGGTTTCCCCGATATGCCGCCCGGCGGTCCGGGAGGGGCTCCGGCCGATCTGGCGTTGAGAGAACGCGAATTGGCGCTTCGACAGCGCGAGCTGCAGATCCGTGAGCAAGAAATGATGAGTATGCGGCGAGGCCCCCCTCGGCGAGGGCCCCCACCCAAGGCCGCCTTCGATGAGGAGGATGAAGATGACTACTTTGATCCCATGGACGCCCTTCCCATCCCTCACATCGACCCCGACAGTGTGGATATGATGAGCATCACCTCCCGCAAAGCCAAGAAGGCCCCGAGCGCCAGCCAATTACGCAAAAACCCGGAGATTGGCACGATGCCCCCGCCTCCCAGTCGACCGGGCTCCTCTTTCAGCCGGTATTTCGGTGGAGGAAGGAAACGTGCGAGCGACCGGATCATGCAGGAGATCCCTGGACTTCATGATTCGTTGATGGACAATCCCATGATGGCGTACTCATCCAACCGTTACGGTGCAGTGGACAGGAATCATATGTCCGCGGGATCGCGTGCCAATTCCCTGACGGCCAGCCGAATGGGCGACTTCCCACCGCACCCTTACCCGCAAAGCCGAAGGAATAGCAATTCCCCCGCGACTCCCTACGGTCCTGGTGGCCCTCGGATGGGCCGACCCGGGACCGCTCAAGACCAGCACCTAGGACCACCCAATGGCCCTCCTCACGGCGGCCAACCGTCGCCGCCCGGACAGATGCGAGCGCCTGTACCCAGGTACCCACCTGGACAAGGTAATGCGGTAGGTCCGCAACAAGTTGAGCAACATTATGGGGTGAGCAAACCGTATTCCGCCAAGGGCACTCCCAAACATAGAAGTCTGACCGGAAGTGCGAGCGCCAGCGCGGAGAGTGGTGATAGCGGGGCCAGTGCGAACCTTGATTCCGAGAACTCGGCGCATAGTAGCCAAACTAGCCTAGGTGCTCAGCCACCAGCTGCCATGCCCGTTCGTTGAGAGAAAAAACAGTTCTTTGAAAGACGATATCGGCCCTCGTCTCCCCCTCCCCTCTCCCTTCGTTACCCATATTGCCATGTCTTTTGCCTCTCCTTCGATATCACGGCCGAGCTAGCTCTCTCTGTCCATCTCTCTCTCTCTCTATCCCTTCTCTTCTTTCTCCTTTAAGGATACCAGCCACTCATGTCTGTTCTATAATGCACTTGTCTGGTTTTTCTTTCCAAGAAAGCCCCCCCTTCATCTGATTTGTTTCCTTTCACAAGAAGCATCTTTTAATCCCCTGTTTGGCAAAAGGAGGGCAGGCGAGGGCTCGAATTTTATAACTCTGTTGTTCAGTTCTTTGCATATACACAGGGGGACATAAGGGGCACATTTTTTCTCGATTCATGTTTTCCTTTCTCTCTCTACCTTGGAGTGGTCGGGCGCGTTGTGTGTGTGGGATTCTTTTGCATGTGGTGTTTCGCTTGCCTTTTTCTTTTTTGTCTCTTTCTCTTACCCTTAATGAGGGCGAGCAAGGAAGCTCGACCCGACAAATACGAATCGTCATCTTGCTTATGACCGCCTCAAACGTCCATAATTGCCCACCGTGCATTACATGCTTTTCCTTTTGTTTTCTTGCATGAAAAGATCGTTGTACACTATTTACCAAAGGCGCCGCATCTTTTACCGAGCTCATTTTGCGTGGATTGATCCATCAACTTGACTGGTTTTTGTGACAATGCACCCGCATTCCTTTGTATCTTTCCTTTATCTACTTATTGTTCTATTCAAGGTCTGTGATAGCTGCAGCGTTGATTACTGGTTCGGCATAAAAAGAAAGAGAGAACAAGTTGTTTGATTCAGTGATTGAGTGATTTGAATTGGTTGGGTGTGGTTGTCAGTAGCATAAGGCCATGGCATCATCCTGCGTATTTTATAGAGACGTGAGAATGTAAGAATCTTGATTGACAGTTCTGGATTGGTTCCATTTTTAATATTTGTATTGCATTGTAACCAGAACTGGCATTTGTGTTACAAGTAAAGTAGTGATAAGTACAGTAGTGGTTGATATTCAAAGTACCTAGACTGGTAGATCCTGCACGTGACCCCCACTGTAAAGTAAACAAACATCCGTCTAGCTTTCCACCTCAACTTTATCCTCATCGACTTCGCAACCACTTTCTTCAACCCTCCACTCCATAGACAACAAAAAAGCAAAGCAAAGAAAAACGAACCGAACCGAAACCAAAATGCCACCCCCTTACAACCACCACACCGGTAACCCTTACAGCGCCCGCCCCTCCTCAACCACCCACTTCCCCGCCACCGCGACCCCCTCGATGAACATGCACATGAACATGAACATGCACAGCGGCCAATCCTACACCACTTCCGGCCCCGGTTATGGTTCCGGCTCCGGATACGCGTCCAGCAGCGGCGGAGGTGGGAGTTCGAGCATGTCCGCCGCCAAAACCCGACAATATGCACAACTCCATGCGTCGCTGGCGCAGTTGAATGCGAACCTTGCGGATACGCAGAATCTGGTGCGCATGACGGCGGTGCAGGCGGAGGATATGCGGTTCTTGGGGGGGTATGTTGGGGCGCTGTTTATGGGTTCTGCGAAGGTGTTGGGGGAGGAGGGGGTTGTTAAGGGGGGAGATGGGAGTGGGAATGGTGGGGATATGGATGTGGAGGGAGGTGGGGTGAGGGGGGTTAAGAGGGAGAGTTGATTTTGTTGATTCATTGCGCTTCGTATGGTTATGGTGTTTGGGTGGGATGTTCTTGGGTGCAGTGTTGGTAAGTTGTTCTTCATGGATGGAATTGGGGGTTGCGTCGTTTATGGATTCTAGTGGTTGATGGAAGTGCTGAGGGATGGCTAATGGCTATACAGATTATGTCTATCGGTTTAGATGGACCAGTGTCTATCTATCTATCTATTCCGCTGCGCCGCGTCGCCTCATGTCACCTCGCGAAGAAGGGTGATTATGCGGTTTTGAACTACCCTAGTTATCGACGACGAACCCTCCGCCTAGAATCACGGCCGGCTCTTCGATGTTATGGTGCTCGTAACTGATGTTCGAGTTCGGGTTAGCAAGATGCTCCTCTATCTTGTCTCTTGTTGCGGACAATCTGCGCGAGGATAACTGCTCACCTCAACGTTCCTACACCTCCTGCTTCCAAAATCAAAGCCGTCTCCGTCAACGGCTTCCCGGTCCATCGCATCGCGAACGCACGCAGGATATGCCCGTGCGCGACGATCAGCACATCGCCTTGTTCGCTAGACGAGGACCCGTCGAAGCATGGACCGTGATACTTCTGTCTGATTTCGGCGATCACGGCGTCTAGACGACGAATGACGTCTTCGGGGGATCTATTGCATGTCATTAGCATGGAATCAACAGCTGGAATAACATTGAACATGACAATTGAACAATCGAATGAGAAAAGAAAAGAAAATGAAAGACATACTCTCCCCCAGGACATCCATCCCGCCAAATATCCCACGGCCCTTCCCCCTTCTCCGCCCGCATCTCTCGGATCTGCTTACTCGTCAACCCCTCGTAGTCGCCGTAATCCCATTCGCGAACCGCCTCCGTCACCTCCACCTTGGCTTCCGTGCGAATCGGCTCCTCGTCTTCGGGTCTCCGGGTTTCTGTCCAAGGTAGACGCTCGCGGCAGCCGAGGTCGAGCAGTTCGAGGGTTCGTTGGGCGCGAGAGCGTGGAGAGACGTATCTATATCAATCAACCATCAGTTTAGCCATTAGTTTATCGTACTAGCCAATTCCCAGTGTCACCACGCTCATACTAGACGAGGGCACAACAAAGAAGCGCGCAAGGCAACACAAGCCAAGCCAAGCCCAGGCAAGCCAGAACAGTAAAAGTTGACTAAAGAGAAACAAACATACACATGAACCAACTTCCTCGGCGCAATCAACCGATCGTTCCCGACGAGCGCCTTCCCCGTCGACTTGATTCGTTTCTCGCCGTTCGGTGTTAATGCCAGGTCTGTGGTGCCTGTGTGTCGACCGTTCAGGGACCATTCGGTTTCGCCGTGGCGGATGATGAAGCAGCGGGGGGCCATTGTTCTTTTTTTTTTCTTTGGTCTTGATTGTTGGGTTTGGGCTGTGGTGTTCTTGGAGGGGAGAGAGTTTGGAGTGGATTCTTTCTGAGAGGAAGAGGAGGAAGAAGAGGGAAAGAGGTGAGAGGAAAGTTGAAGGAAGAGTTGGTGGTGGGGGAGAGGTTGCGTCATACCTAGGAGCAAGAGTAAGCTTATCTTGTCGGTGATCGACGGTTCGTGTCTACTACGGTGTACTCCCTATGATGAATTATTGACATCAGTGGGCTAGATTGAACGCTTAGAAGCTACTATATGAAAGGCAAAGAGCTATCTAGATAGCTAGCTATTGGGTATATCATCTGTTGACTGCATTGAGTTCGAACTGATTGGTGCAGTTGGTCCTGTACTATGGTATGTGTTGGAGTTTGGATGGGAGCTTACATCTAGAGCTTTGATTGACAAATTCATTTGGCCTTCTACTATGCCTTGGGATTTACTCAACATTATTGTGTAGTTACAACCATCTCTGTACTTGCATCCGAGATCTAGATACTGTCAAGATCAAAAACCGGTGGATCCACGTCTGCTTATGTCATGGCGATAGGCGAATCGATTTCGTTAGGCATGCAAGTGCTGTAGTCTGTAGTACTACTACTCTTGATTCCTTGACCTCGAGTCCCAGTGCAACTTCAATGTCAAGCAGTTTCCAACCGAACTGAGAAACACCCCCTGGCCATGATCTGACAAAGTCACTGTTATACTCTCAATCGGTCTCCTGCCCACCTACTCACCCAAAACCCCACCAAAAACCGGAGGGGCAGAAAGAACCAAACTCCAACCACTTTCTGCGTTGCAAACATGCCCGGCAGGAGCAAGAACCTAAGAAACACCTCCCTGCTCTCAGGGAGCCCTCTATCCCAGACTCTCATCCCCTCCGACATCCTCTCCAGCCCTGACCAAGAATGGGTAACCTCCCGGGACCTCGCAGAGCCCTGTCTGCCCTACATCCCGGAGATCATGGAAGATGTGACGGTCTTCCTGCTGGGCAATATCAATATCAACTCGAGCCATTTGTTCCGGGCTGATATCTTGTATGATAGCTTGGGGCTGCTGAAGACGCCGTGGCAGAAGGAGAGGGTTCATGCGATGGGCCAGGACGGTGCCGGGGGTGATGATGTCGCGAACAGCGGTGCTAGTGTTAGTGAAGATGCTGAGGCCGAGACAGAGGCTGCAGAGACGGTGGAGCCTATCCCCGCCCAGGACGTTCCTGGCTTCGAGTTGACCAGGACCGTGGTGAGACGGTTTATTCCTCGGAATCCGAACCTGGATCGGGAGTTGGAGCAGACGTGTCATTTCTATGATAGGTTCAAGGGCAGCGAAAAGGATGGTGATTTGTCGACGCCCGCGTCTCGAGATGTGCTGGTCGTTTACACGCCTCATGCGACTTCCAAGGAAGACACGCCGTACTACCATCCCCAGATCCGGGCATTGGCGTTACTCTACCAGTTCGAGTACAATAGCCCAGATGCCGCAAGCGCAGAAGCAGGATCAGAGGACGAGAGATCACCCGGTTCAGGCACCCTATCGCTACACTTCCTCCCCTTTGCGGACGAGGAAATCTCCAACCGCCTAGAACGCACCCTCAACGCCCTCATCAACACCCAGATCCGTCTTGCGCGCGGAACCCGCCTCGCCAACGAGGCCGGGAAAGCACCCGGAAAGGGCTCAAACCGAGGCGGCGGCGAGGGCCGTGGTGGCGGCGACAAGCCCAATAAAGATAACATCATCCCGCAGCATCTGGTGCAGAACACCTACACGCGACTGAAGTTCAAATATGGGCCCGACCTCTGCCGCGACTGGGTCGAGTCTACGGAGCCTAGCAAGCATGTCTTCGAGGATCTTAGCATTACTGCGTTCTTGATCGAGTTGTGGCGAAGCATGTACGGCGTTTGTCCTGCCGACGAACGCACCGGACAGGCTCCCTTGGAGCAAGGAGACGATGCACAACCAGAAGACAAAGATCAAGATTCCCAGATATCCGACTTCCCCGGCTTCGTCGACGTGGCCTGCGGGAACGGCGTGCTCGTCTACGTCCTCCTGATGGAAGGATACAAAGGATGGGGATTCGACGCCCGCCGACGAAAAACTTGGAGTATATTCCCGGCCGACGTACAAGACCGCCTCAAAGAGGAGATCTACATCCCGAAACCGTTCCACGACGCACTTGCTCCTGCAGATTCGTCCTCACTAGACCAAGTTCCATCCAACTTCGACTTCGACCTCGGCGTCAAATCCCACACCGGCACCTTCCCTCCCAACACCTTCATCATCTCCAACCACGCCGACGAACTCACCCTCTGGACGCCTCTCATGGGCGCCCTCTCTAGCCTGGAATCCCCTCTACCATTCCTAGCAATCCCCTGCTGCTCACATGCCCTATCTGGTCTGAAATACCGATACCCACCACCGAAGCCTCAAACTCGAGAAGACGACGACGACACCCGTCAAGAAACCACCGCCACCCCCAACAAGGACATATCGTCTCAAGACCCGACTGCAGATGATGCAAACACAGACTCTCACGGCTCCCTACACGCCCTCCGCCAGGCCAAACTCGCCTCCCAACCGGGCAACACGGGCTTCTACAAATCCACCTACGGATCCCTCACGGCCAAGACGATGTCCGTGGCCCAGGAGATCGGATACGGCGTCGAGAGCACCCTCCTCCGGATCCCGAGTACCAGGAACATGGGCGTGATTGGGGGAAGGGAGGTCGTGATGCGGGAATGGCGGGAGAAGAAGAGGAAGATGGGGAGGGTTGTGCAGACTCAGACTATTACTCATTTGCAGGCGCAGGAACCCATGTCTTCGGGCCCTGAAGAGCCGAACCCCGAGGAAGCAACTGATCGGGTCATGGATGTCGTTCATCGGGAATGTGCGCGGGACGGGGGAATTGCCAGCGCGGCGCAGATCTGGGTTGACCGGGCGAGAGGGATACATAAAGGTCCCGGGAGGGGGAATTTGAATCATCACTGTGGTACTGGGGGACATTGATCATTTGAGCAGTATTGAATATGGGAAGGAGGGAGGGGCTGCCACTAGTATAGACCTTATATGTGTACAGGAATTGAATAGATAGATACCTATGTTGTTGCTATGGTGTGAAGTTTGATGGGATGATGAGAAGATACCCCTGATCTAGGTATGTACATAACAACTAGCATACGAGATAGAATGATTTCCTACTCATGAGCGGCGGATAGTTAAACTTACCTCCCTTAGTTAAGATAAGACGAATCTATCAAAACCATAAGAAAAAAAAAGAAATCTTCCAGATAGCTACAGACGTGACAGAAAGCATCTAATTTACATTGAACCCGGCCATCCAACATGACACCCAAAGGATTGGAACAAACGAATGCAAACAAAGTAAGAATAATATAGATGAAGTGAAGCTGGTCCATACTCCTGCAATGCATTTGATTAAAATATGTCCGAAAAATAATCCACCCCCAGAGAGAAGAGAGGGAGGGAGAGAGAGAGAGCTGAGATCTGAAAAACAAAGCCCATTCCATCATTCATTTCTATCTGTACACACACATAGGGCAATCAACTAGCCCCGATATTACTGTTATAGCTCGCTTCTACGCAGAGCTTACTTACATTACCCGCTACGAGGTTCATGATTGCTCGAGTTTCGCCTTGCTAGCCGATTGTTTCAACGAGTTGGCTCTCTGCGCCGTGGCATCAGCAGCGACGGAGCGGGCAGCTGCCGAAGCCGCGGCGTTGTCTTTTAGACGCTTCATGCGTTCGGAGCGGCCTTCGCCGGGAAGACTGCCCCAGACGGGTTCGATGGAGTCAGCGCGCCAGTTCGAGCGGTGACCGGTGAGGCCGCCGCCGCGGGTTGGGAAATGGACCATCGGGGAGCTGCCGGCGCCGGCTTCACCCCACATGCGGACGCGCTGGAGTTTGCGCAGCTTGGCCAGTCCGTAGACGCTGACCACGGCGGTGATGACGAAGCAGGTGACGGAGACGCCGCCGAAGCCGAAGTCGGATTCTTCAATGAAGTTCTTCAAGTTCATGCCGTAGAGCGCTGAGAAGAGGGTTCCTGCTGCGAGGGCGAGCGTGCCGATGCTGAATTTGAGGTCGAGGAGCATGAGGGAGTTGCGGTTGGCGTCGAGGATGGCTTTGACTCTGCACGAATATAAAAAGTCAGTGGGTGCAGATTATGATAGGAGATGGATGCGACTCACACTTCCTCCGTATTACGGATCCCAGTGACCAGGTTGCCGCTGGCCTGAACAATTTCATCGCATACTTTATGGTACGACTCCAGAAGCATTTCCACCTCCTGGTGGTCGTCCTCCTCTCGCTGAATGCCCTTCCCATTCTCCGTCAGGTACATGGCCGCCAAGTCATCGTCGGCCTCCAGCAGGTCGTCGATGGCATCTCGCACAAGTCGCGCTTTCTGTTCAAACGTACCCAACCTCTTGGAGTAGATGAGCAGATGTCTCAGCTTGTCCCGATCAATGTCCTCTTCCAACGCGCGCAGAACGCGCACAACCGGCTCTCGCACGCCGTTGAATTCCTCCTCTAAACCGGTCGTGACGCTGATCAGGACCGCCTCGAGAGCACGGAACTCGTAAGGCAGGGCCCCGGCACCCGGCGACTGTGACTGTCTCTGCCGTAGTTTCCCCTCCAGGTCGTAGACGAACATCGACTGCATGTAGGAATCCGTCGAACCATACGCATCAAAGACGAGGACCCGGTCCGCCTTGATCAACACGCGCAGGTGGAGCAGGTTAATGAGGATAGCGCTCGGTCGCACAAGAATATGAGGCAAAGTCGAGGAGTCGATCTTTCGCAGGTCGCGAGGAAGAAGGCCATACTATGCAATCATAGAGTCAGTTTCGTGCCCCCCACCGGCCGGCCGTGCTCGGAAGAAACACACCTTCGCGATTAGTTCACTCTTCCTGAAATCTCCATTGACGAGGGTTACGTTCCCGTTGCTATCAAACTCCGTACATCGCAATCGCGGCTCGTTCGACGCCTTAGCCGCTAACAGCCGTCCTCCAAAATTCAAACTTCCCTCCGTGCCCTCGTCGATCAGCGCGGGTCCCGGGTTGCGGTGCTTCGGTTCGGCCGCGGTCTTGCCGTGTCTCAGGTCGAACAGCCTGCGGAGGAGCGGTCGGCTATGGGAGGATGAGGCGCGTGACGACAGCGGGTTCAGCGGAGAAAGAACGGCGCAGGGACGTTGATCTAGCGAGACTCGATACCGCGACGGGCCCTGACTCTGGCTCTGGCTCTTACGCAATGACGGCAACAACCCTGCTTCCAGGGTGGCTTGGCATCGCGCAGGGTTGAGATGCGTCCAGTTCGACGAGGCTTCGAGCTGCAGCACACGAGACGGTCGGCCGCGGGACGACTTTCGAGCGGGAAGATCGCAGGTCGATGGGTTCGCCGTGAAGTAGAGGAGCGAATCGGTCTGGGAACGCAAGAATCGGAGTAGCGACGTCGAGGGAATAGTCGGTTTCAAAGGCGACGGGGACAGCATATCGGCCTTGCCCGTGTAAACAAGCCGCCGTCAGGGATGATGAAGAGACTTGATGTCTCTCGGTCCTCCTGAGCAGTCCGTTTGGGTGATAATACTGGCTCGTGATTCTTGTATATAATTTTTTTCTGGCGCAGATCGGAGTTGCGTTGCGGCCGGAAATGCCGTCTCGGGCTAATGATGATCCGACGGTATACTTCGGCCATACAAACAAACTCATTTTCTTCATTCATCTCTCTACTATAATTAGAGGGAAATATCTAATCTGTTCTGAAATGACTGGATTTTCCTAGCTACTGGCATATCATAGATCCACCCGGAACCTACGCACGCCACTCCCCACGCAATCTGTTCGGTTACTTCCCCTTTTGAAGCAATGACGACATTTCAATACCTCGCGGAGTACAGTCGTGATGTAGGTATGTATGTATAAGGCATAGAAAGTGTGCGAGGATAGGCGAAAGAACGAAACGCTGACCAATGCAGGTATCAAACAAAGCGCGACAAGTCTATCCCACAATGACGATAGAGGATATTTCGAAAAAGCAAGAAAAATAAAAGAATATACCGTCCCACTTTTACCAATCATCGTCGTCTTCTTTCTCATCATCTGCAGCAACACGAGTTAGACCAGAAATGCAACGCTAAAAGGGTAGAAAATAACTTACCGCTTCCTCTAACCTTCCCCTTTCTCTTATCCAACGCCTCTTGTAGAGCGCCCGCCAACCCTCCTTGGGGAGGACGTCCACTGCGAGGAGTCCCTCCAGAATCATTAGCACCTCCTGGGACTGAGGCGGCACTGCGGTCATTCTTCTCGGAGTCCTTGACCTTGCGCAGGCCCCCACCTCCTTTGCCTCCACTTGCTCTGATGGCAGACAGGAGATCATCTCTACCGCCAGAAGACTTTGGTAAAGGTGGTGCAGCTCCACCCGGCGGCGGCGGTGGTGGTGCCCCAGCACCAGGAGGTGGGGGTGGGGGAGGTGCTCCAACCCCTGGGGGAGGAGGTGGAGGTGGCGGCGCACCGACACCAGGGGGCGGTGGGGGAGGTGGAGGAGCTCCTGCACCCGGTGGTGGAGGCGGAGGCGGAGGCGGAGCTCCAGCTCCCGGGGGAGGAGGGGGCGGAGGAGGTGCTGCAGCTCGAGGGGGGGCAGGTGGTGCTCCGGCTCCCGGAGGCGGTGGCGGTGGAGGAGGAGGGGCTCCCCCAGCAGGCGGCGGCGGAGGAGGCAGTGGGGGGCTGACAGCTGCAGGCGGGGGCGGTGGTGGTCGCGCGGAACTGGCTGGCGCCGGGGGAGGTGGCGGAGGCACCGGAGGAGCCATGCTGGATGCCGGCGGGGGTGGAGTAGGCCGGGAAAGAGCCGGTACAGGAGGCGGTTGAGCTGGACTTCTCGGGGGTGGGGGAGGAGGCGCTGGCGCCGAAGGTTGAGCGTGGGGAACCTTGGGGGGAAGCTGCGGTGGTGACGCCGGGCTCATCGTCCGTGGAGGAGGCGGCGGAGGTCCTCCTGGGACGGCGTTTCGACTCGGCGGTGCAGGAGGAGCAGACACCTTCCGCTCCCCTGAGAAAGGCGGAGGAACTCCGAAGCGGCTTTGTGAATGGTCTTCCATAGGAGTCTTGGGAGGCCGGGGAGGCGGCGGCGGCCCAGGGTTGGTACCCGACATCGCTCGTTGGCGACTGGGGGGTGCAGGGCCAACAGTATGAGCAAACTTACCAGCATCCGCAATCGGGGGCGGTGCGCGGAATCTGGGTCTGGGCGGAGATGGTTCTCGATTCGGTGCAGGCGATTCGTCTCCCGCATCTGCGCGCGCTTTGCGCGACGGCGGTGGGGGAGGAGGAGCACCTCGTCGACTGCCCGTGCTGTTACCAGTGTTCTGCGGACTGATATTGCTTGTCTTGGGAGCAGGAGGGGCCACCGGTGGAGGCGGTGGGGGGGCCTTTCCCCTTTTCTGCTCATCACCGGAAGGTGAAGGCGAGGTCTCCGCTCCACTGCCTTGCTTCTGCTCGATATATGCTTTGATGAAATCGGAATTGTCTGCGATCTGGTCCTCCGTGATTCCCATCTGCAACAGCTCGTCCAGCAGGCCTTTCATGGATGGGTCGCTAGTGTCGAAAGGCATTGATTTGCGTGGCGGGCTGCTGCTCGGCGGAGGCGGAGCAACCTGGATCGAGGGTGCCGGGGGAAGCTCCGCAGGAGTAATCTGTGGTGCATTGGACGCCGTGCTGGAGCGATGGCCCAACAGACTACCGAATAGCGAACGTCCCACGCCAGACTTCCCATTCAAAACCGGAGCAGGGCCCTGGCCTCGTGCCGATGCGAAGGGTGTCTTCAAGGTCTCCTTGCTTGCGCTCTTCTCCCGTTCGTGCACCTTCTTGATGAAGGTTTTGGCTTCCTTCTCGTCGGCGAAAGACAAACCGGCGGGGCAATCCTCCAGCTCGAACGTATGGAAGAAAGTGCGATCCTGATTGTACTGGAAGTTCTCGAAGATCTCTTGATCCCAAATGACACCTCTTCCGGCGGGCTATGGCTCGGTAAGGCAGGAAACCGTCAGCGATCCATTGTCCGGGAGAGTTACCGGCAAAGGCAGCAAGGTATACTTACCGAGACATCCACCAGCTTCAACCAAAAGGTGCGCCCGACCAAATCATTCGCCAGCACTACGGCGCCCTGTAGGCCGGTGTAGGTCCATCTCTGAGGATCTGGGTGCGCCACATAAAGACGCGCGACGGCTACTGCGAGGATTTTGTTCGCCGGCTTGGGGACCATCCGCTTGACGGTCTCTTTGTCGGAGTCATTGAGGATGGACGGCATGACGAACGTAGAAACGACCGGTCAAGGACCGTAGACTAAATCGGAGTAGCGCGGATGTATGTGGATGTGTTTTAAGTGATTTCCCGGGAACACATTGCAGGTGGAGGTTGGGCGCTCCAGGCAGAAGAATCACGGTACGCTCAACGACTCAGGCACGGGACGGCTGCTGATATGGGCGGGTTGGGAGACGCAGCCGCACAACGGGGAGTAACAAAGGGATTGTCGAATTCCCTTGGAAAGGAGGTACAATCAAGTCAAAGGTATAAATACGGAGGCAAAGAGAGGGGTAGAGAGAGTCGAGGGAGAGAGGGAGGTGGGAAAGACAAAGGTTTGGCGGGCGGAAAGCGACTGGGGGCAGAAGGGAGAAGAGGTCAAGTAGCAGAAAGAAGAGGAGATCAGGTCAGCCCCGTCGCACGGAGATGCCACTAATCTCAGGCTCTCAGGCCCGGTGGGGAAGCACGAGGCCACTAAATTCAGGCTCCCCAGGCAGTTGCATTCTTCTTTTTTCTATATATTGCACCACACCGGAGTAAGGTTTATGTATTATTGTTCCTAATAATGATGATAATATTCAATGCAATCTCTATCCCCCGCAGGATTTCTCTTCCATCAGGACTCCCTTCTGGTCAACCTGCATACGGTGCCACCAAACGGTAACGGTTTCCCGACATTTCGTCCATTGATTCGACCGAGGCATGCCAGATCCAATAAACCGGAGGGAACAAGTATTCTCATTTGTTGTACTTTGTCCGACGGTGGCCAACCCTGGTGGATGTTTTGTACGCCCAATGCCCAGCCTGTCCCACTGTGGGAGTGGACCGACGTCATCCCGTCGACAGATACGCGCGGTGCATTTATATACTTCGTAGTGCCATCTTCCTTCCAACGTTTCCTTTTTACCTTAAGGTCCAACCTCAAGTCCGCATTCCTCATAGATTTCTCGATTTCTCCACCAGAAGTCTAACTTACTATTCTCCACTAAATCATACAACCTCAAATATCTCCCGATATCTCATCGCTAACAAAATGCCTACCATCCCCTCCGATCCTACCAACTTCCCATCGGTGGAAAGCCAGAAAGAAGGCCAGAAGGGAGCGGATGACAAGCCCAAGGCAACTGCGCAGGACTTTCAGTCGAAGGGACCTCAGATTCCAGACAGTACGTCCTTCCACGTTCAACCATCAAGCCTATCTACGCCACAAGGTGCTAACCTCTTATCTATTTAGGTATGCCACCCAAAGCCTCTCGCGAGGAAATCGAGGCCCGAATGAAGGAGCTGAACAAATAAGATGCATATATGTGTGCTGAGGCCGGGGTTTTCGCTTCTATCCTAATCATGGGAGTCTAATTTGGACGATACTCTTGGAGTGGCCTGCTAGTGATGATGTATGATATACAACGAATGATGCATGCTTTTGCCATTTTGCACAGATTTCCATACTCTATAGATCGTAAAACTAGGCTCTTGTAGACTGTTCGTTTCCTTGGGTGAGTCGACGATTTGACGTTTGCTGACCACGTCGTCGTTCCATAGGCTATATAGATAATCAGCGCTCTCCCTTGGATATATGATAACAGACACCACCGTCCTCGTAGTTCTACTCAACCGTGCTCTCAAGTTCATATCGGATTATACACACTATCCTCTACCCGGGCCTATATAGACCATGGTCATTACGTCACAGGCCACGTGACCTCGTGTTCTCTAGATCCTCGATTCGCGACGACGACCATTCCTTCTCGCGTCAAGAGACCCCTCATGCCACCGGAACGCACCAATGTCCCGGTGAAGCTGTCCCTGCCGTTGGTAAGTGTTCTGGGCTACCCCTAGATAATCATAAAACAACTGATCTGACTGACATGTCCGCATCAGCAATACCAGCAGGACATCTTCACCGAATTGCGCTCGGAGGATGAGTTGGTCATCCTCGCCCGTGGCCTCGGGCTTTTGCGGCTAGTAACGAATCTGCTTCATTTTTACGATGCTGCCGGAAACAATCTCGTTCTAGTGGTGGGAGCAGATGATAGAGAGAACGAATGGATTGGTGAAGGTTCGTCGGCCGATCTCTTGATAATCGCGGTTCGCGGACTCGTCGGTTCTAATTGCCACAGCCTTGGCGGAACACCATGCCATTAGCAAGACCCCTCTTGCTAGGGGTCTCAAGGTAATCAATACCGAAAGGGCCTCTGTCTCTATGCGGTGTGTAGTCCCCGTAGGCTACATCCATAACGGGATTACTGACGGACACTTAGAGAGAAGATCTATGCCGGGGGCGGTATTCTGAGTGTGACATCCAGAATACTGGTTGTAGATCTCTTATCGAGTAGGTTGACAACACCCAATAACAATTGCCAGCCAAACATTCTAATATCAATTTAGAACTCCTCGATCCCGAGAAAATCACCGGAATGGTTGTGCTTCACGCCGACAAGTAAGTCGACCATCTCAAGAGCCTATGCACGCATGTATACTAAACATATGGCAGGATCGTGGCAACTTCAACCGAGGCCTTTATTGTCCGAATATTCCGGCAGCTGAACAAGCAAGGATTCCTCAAAGCCTTTTCGGACTCCCCCGAGCCGTTCACAACAGGATTTGCGCCGTTGGCAAACTCTATGCGCAACCTCTTTCTTCGCAAAGCTTCCCTGTGGCCCCGCTTCCATGTTACAGTCGCCGAATCCCTCGAAGGGCACAGGAAAGCAGAAGTCATTGAGCTCGAAGTCCCAATGAGTGACAAGATGCGTGAAATCCAAAATGCAGTTCTCGAATGCGTGGAAGTCTGCATTGGGGAGCTGAAAAAGGCCAACGCGGGTCTTGACATGGCTGATTGGACACTCGACAGTGCCCTGCACAGGAGTTTTGATATTTCAATCAGACGTCAACTCGATCCTATCTGGCATCGTGTGACTTTTAGGACTAGGCAGATTGTCAGCGATTTGTCTGACCTGCGAGCAATTCTTCAGTAAGTCCTCTCACATAAGTATTTCAAATGCCGAATCCATTCAAGTTAGTCTGACTGATTTCAGTGCCTTGCTTACTTACGATGCCGTCTCGTTCATGAGATACCTTGACACTATTGTTACGGCTCATTCGCCACCACCTGGCTCATCAAGACACAACTATTCACCATGGCTATTCCTCGATGCAGCCCATGTCTTGTTCCAGACGGCAAAGTCCAGAGTTTACCAAGGCAAACTCAGCAATGACACCCCCTCTCTGTCAACCTCATTCCCTACAACATTGCAGCCTGTCCTGGAGGCGCAACCAAAGTGGGAAGTCTTGGCAGAAGTGCTAGAAGAGATTGATACCGATGCATATCTGAACCCAGTCAACGTTGACGAATCAAATAGTACTGTGTTAATTATGTGTTCCGATCAACGCACCTGCCGACAGATCCGCGAATACCTCGGGACTATGCATGCTGGCGTGGATGCAGCGAAAATAGAGGATGACGACGACCCCATTGAAACTAATGAAAGAAAAGCATTTGGAAATGTCATTATGCGCCGGAGACTGCGAGATTATTTGAATTGGAAAAGCTCTCTGTCCAACGTCAATAAGAATTTGTCATCCCGACCAGAAAATGACGAGTCACAAGGAAAGGCTTCGAATTCACCAGGACAGTCGAATCAGCTAGGAAGAGCACCTCCCAATAAGCGACGTCGTGTACGTGGTGGAGGTGCAGTTTCTTCAGCTGCCGCACGAGTACCGAATAGCAGTGTACAAACGGACGTCGAACCGTCCGGGCAAGTGTCTGAATTACTCGATGAAATTCAGCCTACAGAGATCGAGGAGGCCCAAAAGGAGGAGATCGTGATTGATGACCTCGAGGATATGGAAGACTTTTATGAATTATACGATATGGATAACCTCACCGTGGTGCACCCATACGTCGGCGACATGGACGAGCATATACTGGAAGAGATTCGACCCCGCTACATTATCATGTATGAGCCTGACTCGGCCTTCATCCGGCGAGTGGAGGTCTATCGCAGCTCTCATGTGGGAAGGAACGTACGAGTATACTTCATGTACTATGGAGGCTCTGTCGAAGAACAGCGATACCTGAGTGCTGTTAGACGCGAGAAGGACTCCTTCACCAAACTTATCAAAGAGAAGAGTGTAAGCCACTCCTTCGCGATTCCTTTCCTCAAATTCAAGCACTAATTCGGCAACAGAACATGGCCGTCACCATCACGCATGACAAGAGCCTTGAAGATCCACAGGAGCAGTTCCTCAGAACTGTGAACACTCGCATTGCCGGAGGAGGCCGCCTGGCCGCCACAGCGACCCCTCCGCGTGTCGTCGTCGACGTGCGAGAATTCCGAAGTGCCCTCCCATCCCTCCTACATGGTAACAACATGATCATCGCCCCCTGCCAATTAACAGTCGGCGACTACATCCTAACCCCGGACATCTGCGTCGAGCGCAAATCCGTCCGCGACCTCATCACGTCCCTCAAAAACGGCCGTCTTTACAACCAAGCGGAGACGATGCTCCAGCACTACAAGAACCCTCTACTCCTGATCGAATTCGACCAGAACAAGTCCTTCACCTTCGACGCCTTCGCCTCCGCAACCACCCCCGGCACCTCCTTCCTCACCGACTTCGGCTTCTCCTCGTCCGGCACCGCAACTACCTCCCTATCAGCCAGCAGCTCCCTCGTGAACCCCTCCAGCCCGAAATCCGCCCAACACCTCCTCGTCCTCCTCACGCTGACGTTCCCCCGACTGAAAATCATCTGGTCCTCATCACCCTACCAGACCGCCGAAATCTTCGCCGAACTGAAGAAGAACAACCCGGAGCCTGACCCGCTCCGCGCGGTCCAAATCGGCCTGGACATGGAGATTGCGCCGGATCCGTTGTCCGCGTCGGGGTCTGCCGGTATCATGGCCGCGGCGGGTATCGAGCATCGCACGTTTAATCTTCTGCCGCAGGACATGCTGCGTGCTGTGCCGGGTGTGTCGCCGCAGGCCGTGGAGCGGTTGATCCTGGAAACGGGGAATATCACCGAGCTTGCGAACATGGATGTTGAGCAGCTGGATCCGTTGGTGGGAATTGAGGCTGCGAGAAAGATAGTGGGATTCTTTCGGAAGAGTGTCTTTGATGGGGAATGATGGTAACCCTGGGGCTTTTACATTTACACGCATACACTACACTCCCGCAACACTAATGGAAGCATATTCGCGTATTAGGCACATACAAAAACTACGTAGAAGTAAAGAGAGACCCATGCGTTAGGAAGTACTTTCATTTTTCGTGACCTTTCTCGCTAATCTATCGACAAGAAAAAAAGGAAAAACGAAATAATAAAAAAGGAAACCGTAAGACAAAAAAAAAGCCAATTGCCAGCAAGAAAGATACCAGACTGCCAAAAATCTAGCAGTCCAGTTTTCCATTAAACGCTTGGCAATCAATTCCTCTGCAAACTCTCGAGATCTATCCTGCACAATGAAAGATGAAGAAGATAGCAGCGAGATGAAACAAACACTGTTATCAGGTTTTCATCGTGGAGGGGAGAGTCGAGAGTCCCCAATGATTCATACCCTGAGTTGATGATTTGGGAGCAGCACTGGGTACCGTAAGGGAACCCCTGTGGAGCGGGGGAAAGCGCTGCAACCCTGATCCCTTTTCTCGTTTGTTGTCCTTCCAAGGTTGTGGGGGAAAGATAGTTTGCCCGAGTGATAGATGAACTCGGCCGGCCGACAGACTTCCATCCTAACGTGCGAACTTTATTGTTTCGCAGGAGGAAAGTCTGCCGAGATCAAATCCCCAAGGAGATAGGTAGAGAAACAAACGTATCTTGAAAAATTCTCGCGTACCAGAGAAAATAGGAAGAAAGGAATAAGGGTCGACGAGAGAGGAAGTTCACAAATAAAACCCAGTGACTCTGTCTGGCAGGGGTGGAATGCATCGGGGACGCAAGAGAAGGTAGCCCTGAGAGGGCCAGTTTAGAGCTCGTCGACATCGATCTCCTTCTCGTCTTCGCTCTCGCGGTCCTCGTCGAACTCGACGTTGTCCTCGAAGCCCTCGTGGCCGTAGGTGTCGGTCTCGTTGATCTTGGCGTGTTCGGGCAGCTCGCCGTAGGCCTTGAGACTGCGGGCCTCGTCGGCGGTGTACTTCATGATCACGTCGCCCTTCTCGTCCTGGTAATCACGCAGCGAGAGGAGGATGATGTCACCCTGGTTGATCCAGACCTTCTTCCTCAGCTTGCCACGGATGTGGGCGAGTCGCTTTTCGCCGTCGAAGCAGAGAGCCTCCAGACGGCCGTTGCCGAGCATCTTCACGACCTGCGCATACTCCTGGCCTTCCTCCTTGAAAACGAGTTCACGCTTCTCGTTGTCGTTCTCGTTCTTTCCACGGCGACGGTTCTTACCGCCCTGTTTGGTTGGGAAAAGTGGTTAGCTTGTGGTTCGAATGTTGTGATTTGTCCCGTTTGGTCTTCCAAGTCAAGTCTGCCACAGTGGCAAGTGCTCCATATATTCCCACAACCAAGAGAGGAAAGAAAAGAGAGGAATGACTCTGAAGATTCTCGTCTCTGCAGTGTCTCTTTCCCTTTTTCTCTCTCGTTCGAAAGAAGATATGGCCCAAGCGCTGCCTCATCGCGACTCGGGAAAAAAAACTCTTATGCACAAAGCGGGGTATTTCGTGCGTAACCAACACGAAAACAATGGAAGAGAGGGGGAACCAAAGGGAGGGAGAGCTTACTTTTCCCTTGTTCTTGGGCATGGCGGATATTCGTTACCTGTTGATTTAACTCGATAACGATACCAGACCGAAGTGCTGATAGAAGAGGAAGTGGGGGGAAGGAGAAGGTTGGCGAGGGCGAGCGAAGGCTTTTTCGTCTTACGGGCAACGGACGGTGGGAATCGGGGTGGCGGCCTGAATTGTGCCTAAGGCTCGCCACAATGCCCTCGCGCTCACCGCCCACCAGACCGGGCCTTGTGTTTCTTTCGGCAGAAAAAAGATGCGGCGTTCGACGGTTCTCAGTGTCTGGTTTTACGTCGTTCATCCTCGACTGCACAGTTGTTCGTGGAGTTATCCTGTGTACCTGTTCAGTTTTGCTCCTGAACCTCGCCATTCGATCAATCTGAACCCCAGCGGAATCTCCTCTTCCCTGGCCATGAGTGCCCCGAATTCGTCCTAAAACCCATCTAGCCCAGGGCTTCCCCGAAGTGCCAGCATTAATTCTCCATTACCTACCTTCTCTTCCTGGGGATACCGACAAAATAACCGCTCCATTGAAAACATACCTTCAGAATGTCTTTCCGAACGAAGCTTTTCACCTTGCGGTACAGCCCAAATCATATAACTCCGCCCGTCGCAGGCCGATACCTGAGCTCCCAATTCAACTGTCTTCAACCGAAGATTGCCCATATGTACAAAAACCGTGATCGATCTGTACTATGGTGGATGGTCTCAGCGCATAACCTGGTTTCACACAAGCGGGTGGTGAGAACATGGCTGGCGCGGCGGATGCGCGCCGCGTTTCAGCAGGCGTTGAAAGAGCACGGTTTCAATTCCCAAGGCAAGAGACTTGCACCTCCACCTCTAAGGAGACAGGGCGGGCGAGACTTTGGTGATCTGACCGGCACCGTGGAGATCTCAATCAATCCGCGTAGTCTCCGGGAGGATTTATCTCAGTTGGATAAGAGTATGGCAGTGACACTGGGTACGATACTACGCCATCGGCAGGAAGAGGCCAAAACGCCAGTTGCTGGGGGTGCAGCAGTTGGGAAAAAGTGGGCGCAAGCTGCTCGTCGGTAGATGCAGGCTCATCCTCTTTTCACATTTATTCTTGTACAATAACGTTTCTTTCAGGGTTCGCTGTATATTATGGGTTCACGGGGCGATATGGGGGTTGGGCGCATGAGATGCATTGCGTGGTGTTTATATTTATAGACCATAGATAGACATGTACATAACAGAATCAGGCACACTCTCGACTTCACATCCGGAGAAAAGATGAAACAAAAACCCAACGCAACAGCGAATGATGCGCAGGGCTTGTCGTACGTGTAGTTTCCCACTGGGGGAATCCACGCGGCACTGCCTCCTTGGCGCCTTCGCTAATTGCCGATCCTCAGGCTTGGGCCAGACAACGGACAACTTCACGTTGCATTCTCCCTCTTCCTCGCCCTCCCCCTACCTAGTCTCTTTCTCTTTCTTCCTCTCTGTCTTTTATGCGCCTTACTTGACATCCTCTTTCTTCTTCCCCTTCTCTCACGATGTTGGTCTCCTTGACTGTTGGCAAGGTAGACGCTGGCGTCGCCGTCCTCTTGACCCAGGACAACCGTCTCGTAAGCCTTCACCCCATCTCTGTTGTTTTTGCAGCAGTGAATGCGATGAGCGCTTTGTGTCAATGTTCAGACAATCTCGGCTTTGATCTCGGGATGAACCCATCTTTGACAGTTCAGGCAACCAATGCGTTATCGCAAGTCCGCTGACCCTCTGTTTGTTTACAGATCGAATTCCCCTCTGTTCTCCTCCCAAACAACATCACTTCCGGTAGCATCGTCGACATCACCGTAGCGCGCAACCTCAATGCCGAAGCTGCTAGTGCCGCCGGGTTCCAATCCCTCCAGAAACGCATCCTGAACACCTACGGCGTCAAGACGCCCTCGCCGCCCATCCTGCGCCTCCGCAACGCAACCCAGACCTCCCTAGTCCTCGAATGGGAACCCATCGACCTGGCGACTGCCTCTCTCAAATCTCTCTCCCTCTACCGCAACGGCTCCAAGGCCGGCTCGATACCCCGTCCCCTCGAGACCCGCAGCACCAAGATCAGTGGCCTTGCCGTCCACGCCGAATACACCTTCCACCTGGTCTTGCGCACCACCGCCGGTACCTACCAGTCCGAGAAACTCACCTGTCGCACGCACAAGATGACCGATCTGTCCGGCATCACGGTGACGTCGGGCGTGCTGCCTCCGCAGCAGAAGGACGCCCTTGCGGCGGCTTTGGACCGCATCGGCGGCAAATTGATCGATACCGTCCGCATCGACACGACCCACTTTGTCTGCACGGAGGGCCGCGGCCCGCTGTGGGAGAAGGCCGTCGAGATGAACATCCCCGTCGTCGTGCCCGAGTGGGTGGATGCCTGCGAGGCCGAGGGCACCATCGTCAGCGTCCGCGGCTACTACCTGAACGCCGACCCCAAGGCCAGACAGCTGGGTACGCTCCACGGCTCTACGCAGCATCAGCGCACCACCTCCTCGGCCACCTCGATCCAGCCGCCGCAGACCCCGACTCAACAATCGCACTCGCAGACGTATTCGCAGTCGAGAATGAGTCTTGCGCCTCGCGCGTCGCGCGAGAGAGAATCGCACACGATCGGTGAACCGCCCATCACGCCCTTCCCCGGCGCAAACATGAGCGGACAGCCCACGGCCGCTGAAGACGAGATCACCTCGGACGACGACCAGTCGCCGCCTCCTGCGCCGCCACTGAAGGACGAGACCGAAGAGACGGAAGAGCCGTCATCGAATGGTCCTACCGCGCAGATCGTCGTCACTGAGCCTACCTCCCCATCAAAAGACCAGCCTTCCAAGGATGAAGAACCCGAAAAAGAAAAGGATCAGGATCAAGAACCTGAAAAGGACAAGGAAGTAGCCGCAGCCGATGCCGGCGATAAAGAAGTACAAGAAGATGATTCATCGAGTAACGAACCAACCAAGGAGAAGGGTAAAGAAGGCGAGGGGGACTTTAACGAAGTCCCGCTTTAACGGAGCTACGTGAGCGATTTTGATTATTTCTTATTTCTTGTGTCTTATTTCCTTTCTTTCTTATATTCTCCTAACTTGTTGTTTTACTCTATTCCATTCCATTCTATCTTACCCCCTTTTCTATTCTTACCTATTTTCCACTTTGACTGAGCGGCCCGACGTACTTGTGGTGTGTGATATGGCAGTGATGTGAATGTACATTTTGTATAAGAACAAGGCGGGGCAGACCAGGGCAAAGAACTGGAATGTGTCCAAATCCCGGCTAAGTCCAGAGCACCCTAGTCCTCAACTAGTCGGAAAAAGGGTGTTGAAGACCTATTTTATAGGTACGCTCTTGTTTTGTTTGTTTTGCTTTCTTCTTGAAGTGGCATGCCGTTTATGTGTGCATTTTCCCTTCTGTGTCTGTGGCACGCTTATTTAGTCCCTTTTGTGTCGCTATCATATGTACAGTAGATAGTCTAATCTTATGTATGGGGTCTAGGTTTAATGATTCTCTTCTTAGTAGGTTATTAGCACGTATATATACTATTGATCCGTATGCGTATAGAGTCAGATTATACTAGAAGTCTTTGATATTCATTCCTCTATCTAATATATAATAAAACATTGCCTGATGTCTTATGCTGTGGATATTGAATATTGGGTCATAGCACCTTGTTAGCCACCTCTCTCGTGGTCGTTATTAGTCTTTCCATTCGTTTTCTCGTCTTAAAACTAAAGAAAAAGGCGTTTAGTTGACGTTGCGCACAACGTCGTTGATGGCGCGCGCGACGTAGGCGACGTTCTTCTCGCTCACTGGGAGGGTTGTTAGTATTTTCTATAAGATCGGATGGGGGGAAGAGGGGATAAGCTTACAGCCGCTGATGGAAGCTCGGCCGGACTTGAGCAGGTAGATGTGGTACTTGTCCTTCAGGGCGTAGACTTGCGAGGGAGTCAGGCCGGTGTAGGAAAACATTCCATTCTGTAGAGTTGTGCGTTAGCTTATGTGCACGGGTATATTTTGTGAGAGGGGTGTGCGTTGGTGTTTGGTAGTGGGTGGAGGGGGGTATGGTCTTACCTGCTCGACGATATGCTTCCAGGTACCCGGGGTCTCGAGGCGGACCAGCTCATCGTAGAGGGCCTTTCGCATCGAGATGATGCGCGAGCTCATGACCTTGAGGTTCTCGTGCCATTGAGCGGTGAGGTCGTCGTTCGTGAGGACCTTTTTGACGATGCTGCACCCGGCCGTGGGACCCATGGAGTATTCACCACGGATGAGATGGCAGAGGTTGTTGACGACGATGTCGCGAAGCTCTTGGGAGCCGTTGCCCAGGACGTAGTGGAAGGCGCCGACACGCTGGCCGTAGAGGCCGAAGTTCTTGGAGAAACTCTGCGCGACGCACATCTCCATCGAGGGCTTCTCGTTGAGGAAGTACCGGACGGCCCAGGCGTCTTCGTCGGCGGAGCCGGAGGCGAAGCCCTGGTAGGCGGAGTCGAAGAAGGGGAAGATCTTCTTGCGCTCGCACAGGTCGGCGATGGCCTTCCATTGTTCCTTGTTGGGGTCGAGACCGGTGGGGTTGTGGGCGCAGGCGTGCAGGAGGATGATGTCTCCTTCTTGGGCTTCTGTTTCGAGGGTGGACATCATGCCGTCATAGTCGAAGGAGCGGGTCGAGGCGTTGTAGTAGGGGTAGGTCTTGCGAGGGACGCCGGCCAGCTCCCAGATGGTGAGGTGGTTGGCCCAGGAGGGGTTGGAAAGCCAGACATTCTTGGGCTTCATCTGCTGTGCCAGGAAGAGGGCACCCAGGTGGTTAGCTCCTGTACCGGCGACGGCCTGGACGGAACCAATGCGGCCCTTGGTGGCCTTCAGCTGCTCGGAGGTGTCTTTCGCATCGAAGCCGAACATCAGATCCCGAGCCAGCTCGAGGAAAGCGACGTCGCCCTCAATGGCGGTGTACTCGTGGCGGAAAAGGTTGTCGTCGGCGAGCAGACGCTTTTCGGCGTCGCAAACGACGGGAAGAGGCCATGGCTTGCCATCGTCGGTGCGGTAGACACCAACCCCCAGGCTGACCTTTTGGGGGTAGTCATCGGTGGCATATGCGCGGTTCAAGGCGAAGATCTCGTCGGCCGGCACCGGCGCCAGAGTGCTAAGGACAGTCATTGTGATATAGTATTAAGATGAGTCACCACACAGCTTGATCAATTGATCTGGTTCCTGGCTGAGGTAACCAAGGGATGTCTAGTAAGGTTAAGGTTAAAGAGAAAGATGAGGTGGAGGAACTGGTGGGCTGGAATTAAATAAGAACCGTGCTGGAGCAAGCGTGGGCACTAGAGATCAGCAAAGAATGTCTATGTTCCCTAAAGTAGTAAGTGAGTGACGCGGTGGATCTGCATGAATCGGTAATTCGTCTTTGGATATTTCAACATTGGCCCGATATCGCCGTCGCGGGCGAGCATTAAATACTCCTTAGTCAACCGGCTGCAATTTTTTTCTAGTTTGCCATCGGACTGTCGCCTCTGGGTGGAAGTCAACCGCAGCGGAAAAGATCGCTTAGTGAAGGGTACCTGAAACTGTGGGTCAATCAATGGGGCCCGAGGAAAGCATCCTCACTGGCGGAGAAGAAAGACAGCATCATAATGCCCAGAATATGGTGAACAATGTGACCAGTGACCGCTGTAACGTCGGTTTTCCATGGTCTGTCTCTTATGCAAGTCTGGGATATACGGTGTAGTTCACCGATTGTAGACCGTATCCTGTTTTGAGTTGACTTTCCCTTGGAGGTTCTTTGTTCAATGGTCTTGTAGGACTTGAGCCATCATCTGCAATACTAGATGCAAGGGATTCGGATGACGTACTCTGTATCTTGGCCTTTGTTGTTTCTTCTAGGCTGTCTTTCTGTCCTATAGTTTAACGTTGTTCATTTCGTGTTATCTTGGTGTTGCGTTGAGCGCCCTCTGATTTGCCCCCGGAGATCCAATCCTCTTCTCATAAGCACCGAATCTTACTGTAACCGACTATGTTGACTCAGTGCAGATCTTGAGATCTCGGATAGAAATTCGGAAGACTTTCTTAATCGAGTTCATCTTGAAAGCAGACCTGTTGCTTTAGTTTAGTATTCCTATGTCTCCGTTCTACTGTCAGTAATGCAACTACAACACAATATATAACTGTGACACACTAGATGCCACACGCGCAACCTGTCGTTCCTGGCCTTTGCATTTGATGATGACAGACTTCAACCCCGTATTTCAAATTATGATATCATCATAAAGAAGAGTATCTACTTGATAAATCGTGCAGGATGGATATCAGTGGTTGGCGAATGAACATCTCTACTAGGAGCGACAAGACTCTCTAGCCGAGCCGAGGATATTGAAATGGAGACCGGAAGGATTGTCAATAGAATGCCAACAATCAGGCTATCCTCCGCGTAAGGGCAGAAGGATGGCGTCGGACTGAAAGGATGAATGATAAGGGAAGAGGGGTTGTGAGGGGAAAAGCTGGCGGAAAGTCACCTGCCCGCGCTTTAAGAAGGCCGATACGGATTGTTCGGCTCGGAGGTCATCTCATGACCTTTCAACTCAATATCCTGATTTGTTGTATAAGATCTACTATCGGATCATGACTGTGACCCAAACACCTCAAATCTCAGCCGACGACCTGCACTCGTTGCGGCCAAGAACGATTATCCAACCACTCCACAATAGTATTCCCCCGGAATTACTCCCACGATTTGACCCGGTCTATGTGGAGCACCACAATAAGTATAACGCGGGACGCCTACATACGCACGAGGTGCCAATCGAAGAATTTCGAAAGAACCCAGCTAAATTCGTCACTGCATACGGCCGCGCCGTTGGCCCGGATGTTTTCAGGATTACCCAGCAGAAAATACCCGTCGAGGGAGGAGAAATAGCCGTGCGGATCTTTGAGCCTGCAGCAATCTACGATGAGCAAGGTAATCCTACAAAGAGGGCTGCATACGTCAACTTCCACGGCGGCGGATGGGTATTTGGAGATCTCGCGGGAGACCATGATTTCTGCAAGCGGGTGGTCCACGGTCTAGACGGCCATTTGGTGGCTTTTGATATCGACTATCGTCTAGCACCGGAAAACAAATACCCTGTCCCAGTGGAGGATTGTTGGACAGCTTTCAACTGGGTTAGTCTGGACTTCTTACTAGTCGACTGCTGTCGACTGACTCGACCTAGGTCCGGTCACAGAAAGCCGAAGAATTTAATGTCGACCCTGATCGCATGGCGGTTGGGGGAGCTTCAGCCGGAGGTCATCTCTCAGCGGTCATCAGCCATCTTTGCCGTGACTCCAACATTCCTCTCCGCCTGCAAGTGTTAGGAGTGCCAGTATGTGATTTGCACAACGTTTTCACGCCGGATGGAGAATTCGACCGCGAAAATTGTCCTTATGAATCCTATCGAGAGATGGAGTTCACGATTGCCCTCCCGATGGCACGAATGAAGTACTTCCACAATCACTTTCTGGGGCTTCCGCCTGCTAGATCCAAGGAGGTAGGCATCTATGTTGACAGCTAAAAGAAAAAGAGCGAAAGAAGAGACAATGCAGATTGTATGCTGATGCAAGCCACAGGACTGGAAGATTTCGCCCATGCTTGCTCCCAACTTCTCCAATCTAGCCCCGGCTCTTGTGTTCACTGCGGAAATGGACCCTCTTAGGGACGAAGGGGAGGTCTACGCCGCAAAACTCAAGAAAGCTGGATGTCGGGTCAAGTTGACGCGCATGAAAGGGGCACCTCACACATTCATTACTTTAGACGGCATTTTGGGTTCGGGGAAGAAGTACAATGCGATGGTCATCGAAGCGATGAAGGGGGAGCTCGTAGAGTGAATAACAAAGTCGGGAGAAGGGAATAGCAATGAGGCCAATGTATAGAACTGCGGGATCAGGGTTTATCCGGGACCAACACTTACCATACCATACTCAATACCTGTCTATTCCCCCGGGAGGTAACCGGTATTCCGTGTAATACCAGGACCGGGCCGGGAGATTTCGGCAGTCCGCATCGGAAGAGAGGGTCGACAAGTCCGACTCTCTTCAATTGAGTGCGACTTTCTTTTTGCTTCTCTCCCTTCTTTTCCTCCGTTCTGCGAGGCGCTCTCCCATTGCCATTGATTCTTATCTTCTTTTGTGATTTCTTTGCATAGACTCTGTCGGTTTAGAGTCTCTAGCGTACCAATTGAGTTTAATTAGAGCTAGACCAGCGTCGGCATTTGAAATCGTCATGTTGTCATCCACGAACTCCTCCCGGGCGGTGCGCTCGATGGCTTCCTTCGCATCGCGAGCGGCCACCGCCAGCTCTCCCGCAATCACCCGCGCTGCTTTGCGCTCCCCCGCATCGTTCGGTAGCCGCTCGCTGAGCTCCAGTAGCCGACCTCTTCAACAATTCCCCCGCCTTCAGTCCCTCAACATCATCGCCAACAAGAGAGCTTTTGGCACAACCGTCAGAATGGTACACACGCATTAAGGCTTGCTCTATACTTCGGAAATGGTGCTGATGATTGCTCTCTACCCCTCATAGGCTTCCGCTCCCCGTACCGAAAGTGATGCCTTTGGTGAAATTCAGGTGTGTTCGCCCCGATTTACGGATCTCTGGCTGTTACAAGATCTAATCGTGGTTGTGTTATCTATAGGTCCCCGGCGACAAGTACTGGGGTGCGCAGACCCAGCGGTAAGAGACCATCGTCAACCCGCCGGCAAAACAAGCCCGCACAAACTCCATACGATATTGCGGAGGACGCTGATATGAGGCGATGACAGCTCCCTGGGCAACTTCGACATCAACCAGCCCCAGGACCGCATGCCCGCCGCCGTGATCAAGGCTTTCGGTATCCTCAAGGGTGCTGCCGCCACCGTCAACATGAAGTATGGTCTTGGTGCGTGATACCTTCTTCTCCGATAAAGGTCAATTTGGTGATGCTAATACTCTTGCCATAGACCCCAAGATCGGCCAGGCCATCCAGCAGGCCGCTGCCGAGGTCGCGGAGGGCAAGCTTCTGGACCACTTCCCTCTTGTCGTTTGGCAGACCGGCTCCGGTACCCAGTCCAACATGAACTCCAACGAGGTCATCTCCAACCGTGCCATTGAGATCCTGGGAGGCCAGATGGGCTCGAAGAAGCCCGTTCACCCCAACGACCACGTTAACATGTCCGCTTCCTCCAACGACTCCTTCCCCACTGCCATGCACATCGCCGCCGTCATGGAGCTCGAGAACAGACTGCTTCCCTCCCTGAAGAGCCTGCGTGATGCCCTGCAGGTCAAGGTGGAGAAGTTCCAGAACATCATCAAGATTGGCCGTACTCACCTGCAGGACGCCACCCCCCTTACTCTTGGCCAGGAGTTCTCCGGCTACGTCGCCCAGCTCGACCGCAACATCGAGCGTGTGCAGGCTTCGCTCCCCCACCTTCGCTACCTGGCTCAGGGTGGTACCGCCGTCGGCACCGGCCTGAACACCTTCAAGGGATTCGACGAGGCTATCGCTGCCGAGGTCTCCAAGCTGGCTGGTACTGAGTTCAAGACTGCCCCCAACAAGTTCGAAGTTTTGGCCGCTCATGACGCCATCGTCGAGGCTTCCGGCTCTCTGAACACCCTTGCTTGCTCCCTCTTCAAGATTGCCCAGGATGTTCGTTACCTCGGATCCGGACCTCGCTGTGGTCTGGGCGAGCTGGTCCTCCCCGAGAACGAGCCCGGTTCCTCGATCATGCCTGGAAAGGTCAACCCCACCCAGTGCGAGTCCCTCACCATGGTCTGCTCTCAGGTCATGGGTAACCACGTCGCTGCCACCGTTGGCGGCATGAACGGCCAGTTCGAGCTCAACGTCTTCAAGCCCGTCATGATCCACAACCTGCTGCACAGCGTGCGCATCCTTTCCGATGGCATGAAGAGCTTCGAGAAGAACCTGGTCCACGGCCTTGAGGCCAACGAGCCCCGCATCAACAGCCTCCTTCACGAGAGGTATGCGCATCTTCCCTTCTTCGACAAAATCCCCCCTGTTTTATAGTCTGTCTAACTCGTTCTCTAGTCTGATGCTTGTTACCTGCCTCAACCCCGTCATTGGCTACGACATGGCCTCCAAGGTTGCCAAGAACGCTCACAAGAAGGGTCTCACCCTGAAGCAGAGTGCTATGGAGCTCAAGGCTCTCAGCGAAGAGGACTTCGACAAGCACGTTCGCCCGGAGCTGATGCTGAGCCCCAAGGAGAAGAAATAAATGTATTCAGCGGATATCGGGCAACTGAAGCGGGATGAAGTTGCCTTGGTTTCGTTTTAGATGTAGCGAAGATTAGCATTTTCTATGTATTCTGAAGAAAATATTACTGTACAATTTTTGGTCTATTAAATTATTATTCTCTTTTTTTTTTTTTTTTTTGGAACTATATTTCTTTTCCTCTTCGGAGTGTCCGTCAGGCCGACTACGATGCCGGAGGCTATTTTTGGAAGCCAGCGATCGGGAGCTGCGCCGACAAAAAATTAGTGTGCCCCGACTGCATGGCAAAAGCAATAGTCCGGACTAAGAAAAAAAATAATGCATATTGGTTGGGACCGATTCGATATCATTTTAACTTATTCTTTCAGGCACGATTTTTTTTTTTCACGCTAGACTAAGTGAGCCAGGGATTAATGAAGATTTAGATAGACAGGAGGGGAAAAATACCAGTTGTATTGATTGTGTCTCACACTTGGACCATGGGACCGGGCAGTGTTGGTATTTTTCGGGCTTGTTTATCAGTTGCCTCGTCTCCTCCTTCGGGGAAACTGTTAACCTGTCCTCCTTCACTTTCTTTCTCCCCATCCATTGTCTGCTACATTGACTCTACTCATATCACTGTCCTTCGTTAAACTCACCAAGCTATCTTACTGGAACAATTCTTTTGGTTCCTGCTTGCTTATCTTATTACTCTAAACCTATCTTAATTGAAAGACCCCGCGGTCTTACTCTCTCCACGGACGACTAGTTGTCCTACCAGACCTGAGAATCTATCAGTCTCTAATCTTCCTCAGCAAATACACAGACTCTCACATATCCATACCTCACATCCTCAAGTCAAAATGACCAACATCACCGCCACCACTGCCACTCCTATCCCTGCGACCAAAGCGGCCGCAAACTCCCTCCCCGCCGAAGATGCCCCCCTTTTCCCGACCTCTTTGATCTCCGCCGAAGTGGCCGCTCAGCTGCCCGAGGATTACACCATCCGTCCCATGCGCCGCTCCGATTACAAGCGGGGCTACCTCGACGTCCTGCGTGTGTTGACCACCGTCGGAGAAATCACCGAAGAGGACTGGGACAAGCGGTTCGACTGGATCTCGTCCCGCAACGATGAATACTACATGCTGGTGATTGTGGACGGAAAGGATCGCGTGGTCGGCACGGGCAGCTTGATCGTGGAGCGGAAGTTTATCCACTCCCTGGGTCTCGTCGGTCACATCGAAGATATTGCCGTGGAGAAGGACCAGCAGGGAAAGAAGCTGGGACTGAGAATCATTCAGGCCCTGGATCACGTTGCTTGCAGTGTGGGTGCTTACAAGGTATGGCTTATACCCTCTAATTATGGGTGTTTCGATGACTGACAACTTCGTATCACAGACGATCCTGGACTGCTCGGAAATCAACGAGGGTTTCTACCAGAAGTGCGGCTTCAAGCGTGCCGGCCTTGAGATGGCCCACTACTACTGAGTGTGAAGTCTTTCTGGGTCGTTGATTTTTATACTGGCGTTATCGTTATCAGATTCGGGGCCGGGGTCGGTATGCCGTTCGAGGCATTCCATCATTACGTCTGTGACGGGCCTCCTTTATCGATCCCGCAGCCCAGAATTCTTGGGTGGCGGCTGGTGAGCGAAATGCTCGGCGTTATGTATAGACTGCTTGGGTGTTGGAGAACCTGTTGGATATGGTTCGCATAGGAACTGCGGCTGAAGCGTGCATTGTCGACATTTTGGCATAGGCAATTCTTGCCAATGACGAGACTCGTTGACGCCTGGGTTGTTCTTGTACCTCCATTTTCTTTGTGTTTTATTAATTTAGGGCCTCGTACATGGGGTCGTTTTGATAGAGTTGGAATGCCATGCGTGGGTTCCGTGTGGTCTGTTGGACCAAATTAATAAAGCAACATCATCAATGCTGGTCGCTCTGATACCTTTGTATTAGGGAATTTTATTCTACTTTTTTCTGTCTAAATTGTCGGCTGCTGCAATTGATATGAACTAGACGATGGCATACCTACGCTATTTACTTAGTCATGATGGGCAAAACGAACAGAGTCATTCATTGTCCTGAAAGCGAGCCTCTTCTTTTCCTTGCCTGGTTTCTTGTTCTTTCATTTTCTTAATAAGCTATATTAGTGAATTTTTCTATTCCATTTTATATTCTATTCTTTCTTTTTATCTCTGGCTACCTTAACAAAAACCCGATGCACAGGATTACTTTACCATGTCCCTCAAAACGGCCTAGTGCAGGGCTAGGGCCCTCTGATTCCCCTGATGCAAGGCGGAGTATGTCATACATTCAAGCTAGATCTACGTCTACCATATCATCAGGACATGACATTTTTCTCCAATTCGTAGAACAGGCTCAACTATGAGCGTCTGGTGAAGGACCATTTGAGCCAGGAAACTACAGACTACAGAGATAGGGCGACATCAACAAGATCAAAACGAAAACACAAGGCTGATCATATCACATCCATTTTTCCATTTTCTGGTAAAATAGTATAAACCATGGCGCGCAATGAAATCATCTGAGCCCATTGCGGGGGAGGTAGATAGGGAGGGAGGGGAAACATTCTCAACCTAATGCATTGCACTCATGAGAAAGCTCAATGTACGCCGGAAAATCGGTTTGTCTTTGAAAAAGTTGAAAAGGTTTTTGTGTAAAGGAATAACGTAAAAAACCGAACACAAATTTCATTTCCGGCTCCGGTTAATAACCTCCCAAGTTTCCCAGCGTCAAATAAAAAAAGAACATGTTTTTCCTCTTTTTAAAGAAATTTCCCCAGCCCCAATTTGCCTAAACCGCTTCGATTTCGTTTATCTTAACGCGACTTGGCGGCGACCTTGGGAGCAGAGCCCTTGGCGCCCTGCTTGCTCTGGATGCGCTGAGCACCACCCTTGTTGGCGGCGAGCTTGGCCTTCTCAGCCTTCTTCTTGCTCTCAGAGGCGGCCTTCTTGTCCTTGGCGTCCTTGATGGCCTGCTGGCGAGCGGCGGCACGGGCCTCGGGGCGCTGGTTGCGGCGCTCCTTGATCACATCGAGGGAGGCACCGACGATGGCACGCTGGTGCTTAACAGCACGGCGGGTACGCTTCTTGGCGACTTCCTATTCACGTTGAAAAGAACCCGTCAGCATTTCTGTGTCCCGGATGCCATGTCTTGAGACCTGCAGTTATTTCCGTTCGTCGCGCTTCTCCATCCTTGACCATGGGTATTTTGATTGTCGCTGTTGTCGAATGTCTTCACCCCTAGGTTCCTTTGCCCACTTCCCACATCCTCTCCAATCTCACTGAACGGAAATAACAACACATCTCAACCGAGGGGGAAATTGATTTGGCGGTACTGACTTCAGAGATACCCTTCTTGTGCTGGCGACGGTAGAGGACAGTCCAAGCTATCCGGCGAGGGTTCTTGCGCTGGAGGAAGAGGGACTCGGACTTTCCATTCTGGAAGCGGAAGATCTTGCTGTCGCCACGGACGTACAGCTTACCCTATATATTGAAGAAACTCAATTGTCAATGATTTGTCCTTTCTTTCACATATGATTGATCGGGTTCTGTGCGGGAGAAAACATCCTCTCCTTCTCGAGGTAGGTAGAGGGAGACGGGATTGGCGGCTTGATGACGACGGGGTTTCGATTTTCTTGTGTCCGCCCGTTTTCTTGTGAAGAGGAAGATGGAACGCACCTTTCCGGGGTAGATCTTCTGACCGCTGAAAGAATCGTCGTAGGTACGCATCTTGAACGTCGGAGATGCGCGACCGGGCGAGACGAGATGTTGTCGGTTGGCGTTGGGTGGTTGAGTCGATTCGGTCTCTGCGGCGTAGCGGATCGCGAAGTCTGGCACAATTGTGGTGCGGGTGCGCTCGCTAAAGTGCGACACGTGACCTCGGCTGCCCTTGGCCGGCCGCGGTGCTTCCTACCACCTACATACATCTTCCGTTGTATGCGATGGGGGAATCGCCGTGTCGACCATATCTTTAAGGGGGGTTTGATTTTATTTGGAGTAGTTTATGGCGTGGAATAATGGTACTTTTATTTGGGTTTCTCAATATTTTCCCTTGATTCATCGGTACAGGGTCGTTTCGTCGACGTCGGGTTGGGATGACGGAACAACTTATCGAAGTGCCCATACATCTCCCGAGAAGACTTTCTAGACAATTCATGTCCATGTTCGCCCATTTTCTTGCATATTACTCAAGTTCCGTCTCATTCATGATTCATTATCTCATACCACGTACTTCCACTAGTCTCGTGGGCTGTCATCCCCCCTCAGTCGTGCCAGTCGCAAGGGCCCCAGGGATCCTCCTTGCAGTCCTATGTAAAATGCGCCGTTAACATTACTCATAGAAACCACCTCAAGTCGACGGAAGGAGGACCGAATCACATACCTTACACTGCACGTCGCGGCAGATCCCATTCGGACACACGCCGCAGCAGCTAGGGCATACGTAACGACCACAACCGCCCGGCTGGCTACACAGCTGGTAGGTATCCGCATCCATGATCATGGGGCTCAGGCTCTCGATGGCCTCGAGGATGCGCTTCGCCTTTCCGACCTTCTCAGCGTCTGCGCACTCATCATCGATGGTTCTGATAGCGTCTCCGTAGATACAACATGCACCGCCGCAAACCGGGCAGTCACCGCGGCAGCCGATGCATCTGAGGTTCACGGTGTCCCAGACCCGGTCGTCATCCTTTCTCTGCTTCGCGTTGGGATTGTTGAGGTCGCGGAACTTCACCTCGGTGCCAGTCACGCTGCGCGCATACTCGATCTGTCTCTGAGTTAGGGGCCTGCTTTGAAGCAAGTTCGGAATCTACTTACCAGCTCCTGCTTCTTGTTTGTGGATTCCGATGTCTTGCCGTCCACGTTATTGATATGCAGAGCCGTCTGGTGGTATTTATTTGATGGCTTTGTACCGTCATACTTCTTCTTGCCCATGGCCTGCTGTGCGGCGTCTTTCATTTTCGGCAGAAGACCGGGCTCAGGGGCCTTGGGAATGGGTCGAGTCTCAGGAAGATCCATGTCAACAAGCATGTAATCTTTCTCAGGAGTTCTCATTAGCTTGACTCACGCACTGGATGCGGTTGGATTTGGAAACGAGAGCAAAGAGAAAAGACAACACAAACCAGTGGGCGAGATGTATTTCAACTTCAGCGGCACAGAGGGAGAAGTAAAGGAACGCTTTCCTTCAATGCCCGGGCGCTTTAGAGGACCAACTGCCAAATTGGCATCGCGGCCTGTCAGTGAATCAGATCCAACAGAAAGGGAGGATGCGCCGAGGCTCGCGCGTCTGCGATCAGGTCCCAGGCCAGATGAAGGAGTCTTCGGCGAGCTTCCAGTCAACGCTCTCAGTCTTCTCTTAAATACGTTCTCTCTAGGCGAGACCTGCTGCTCCCAGTCCATGTCGTTCTCATCTTTCTTCTTGCCCTTGTCAGTCATGCGCTCCTCAGACACCACCGGCATGGTCAAATCAACCTTCGCCTCATCCGTGATCTGAAAGGCCGACTCCATCTGGCTCACCAGATCGTGAGTGAAGGCTTCCGCCATCTTGGGTGCCACGGTAGCGCTTGAGCCACCAGCACCAAAGGCAAACTTGCTGGAAGATCGATGTTTACCGGGTCGTGAAGTGGCCAAGAACTGGGGATTGTGTTGCGTAACCGTGTTGCTGGGGCCCGGACTAGGTCTATGAGTCTGATCACGGTCTTGAACGGAGCTAGCGAGTTCAGCACTTTGCGAGAGGAGATGTGTGGAGGAATGAATCACCTTACCTGACGTGGGTTTGTGAAGGGTGCTTTTTGCTCTTTCTTTTACCCTTGGGTTTGTTGTTGGTTGATGGTGGCATTGTTCACTGTTAGGATTTGGTGTAGATTGCACTGGGGGAAAACCTTTAGGTGAGTAGGAAGTAAGCAGGATGGAATTGTTCAGGAGAAGTAGGTACTGTATGAGAAGTGGCTTAGGGATAGTGAATAAGTTAGAGAAGGTTGTGATTTACTGAATACTGGGTTATGTTTGCCTTTAGCTTGTTTACCTATGCTGCTTGTAGTGAATGAAAACAAGTAAAATGCATACTTCTCTCTTTTCATGTTCACTAAATGTACCTTATCAATATGTTACCTGCAGTACTGTGTTCTTCACTCATGACAGACTCCTTGACAGAAGGTCTGCGGGATATATGTTTGTCTAAATCAGCAAGGCTCAGTGCGTTGATACTTAGACCTATACCAAAGTCAGAGTTATGTTCAAACTTATATGTATTCTGGTCAAGTCCATAGCAAATGTTACGCTACCAGAATAAGCAAGATAATGCGCCGCTGAAATAGATGGATGGGAGCTTTCGTTTGTAGTTTTGACACTTCTGGACTTGATGCCCTCGTAGACCGAGTTGACGAGGATGTGGAACTATTTTGAATCTACTTTTGAGTCTACTTTTGAATCTACTTTTGAGTCTACTTTTGAATCTACTTTTGAATCTACTTTTGAATCTACTTTTGAATCTACTTTTGAATCTACTTTTGAATCTACTAGAAACAATAGAAGTGGATGAAAAGATTCTATTCCAGCTTAATCGCTCTATCACAAGTAATCGGAATCGCCATTCCACAAGATAAAGGTGAACGCCAGAAGAACTAAGAGGATGTCTTCGAGAGCATAGGCGACATGTGGCTTTTTGTGGTGGAATGGCATGCATAGGGTGAGAAAAGGGGCCCAAAGTCGAGTCTTGATGTATTTCGATGAGAGAAGACATAAGTAATAGGAAAGGTGACCTACTCTCGCGCGGAGAAAAAAGATGAAGATCCTAAAGTGATATGAACTGATCCAAGCAAGGAATGCCAGACAGGCCAACCAACGTGCCGTAGTAGTTTTTGTCATCTCCTCTTTTCTGCTCGTTTCATGGTCACATCATAAACGCGGTCGCTCAAATTTCTGTCAATATAAAAGGATGATTGGCCAATGTTCCTAGTCTCTTAGTCTAAGTCATCGCGTGCGTCCGGGTCCACTCCTTCGCTGTCTGGATCGCAGCCGGCTCATCCTCCTTCCAGCGCTGAGCAACGTCGTTGGCAAGCGGGTCGTCGGGGTTGGGGGCACCGAGCAGAGCCTGGATTGAGAGGAGGATTGTGCGGATTTGGAGAGCGGGGGACCAGTTGTCTAGTAAATATGAGTTAAGTCGAGGTCCTAACAGGGGGTTCGGCGTGCATGCAGAATGACAGGAAACATACTCTTCAAGACATCCAAGCAAATTCGTCCGAGACGGTCGATGTTAGGGTGATAGATCTTGGTCAAGAACCGGATCTTGGGGGGAGTCATTGGGTAGTCTTCAGGTAGGAACAGCTCGAGACGGAAGATACCACCTTGTTGAGATTAGTACCCAGTGACCCGGAAACTTCGAGTATAGAGTGCATTACCTTCATACGGAGATTGCGCGGGTCCATGAATCGAGACATCGAAGTATCGCAGGTTTTCTTCATGGGGCACTGCGTTGATACCGGGAACGCTGGAATATAGCAACAGATCAGTAACCAAGCCTTCTCATTTAACAATCAATATAGCGTACGGTTCGGCCATAAGACGCTCGGTCTCCTTCACGATTCTCTTGGGCAACGCCATATTGTTTCACTCTAGTCCCCGCGTTCGTGATGGTTCAAGGTGGGGTATGTCAAGTCGTACAGCTTCGAAGCTGGAAGTGGCCGGCACTTGCGATTCGGCAGGGATCTTGCAAAAGGCTCGGAATGAAGAAAGGAAATTGCTCACGAGCGGATGGCGCGAGTCTGAGCGTTAGGATCAGCGGGGAAATATTTGTCGCCAATTCTTCTGGCAGTCGAAGTCGGGAACGACGTAACCGACCGAGGGACACGACGGAGCGGGTCTTTCTGCCCGGCCGTACCGACGGACTACGGAAGAACATTGAAACCACCAACGCAGCCCAGGAGACTAAGCCCCATCGGGCCCATCGAGGGAGTCCCCACAGCGAACTTGCGGAGTTGCCCTACCGACCTCATAGCTCATTCCCAGGCAATCTGGACGGCTATGTTCGTCAAGCTACAAGTCCCTGATTCCTTCCCTATGTGCTGACATTCAACTCATCTAGAACACCTCCGCGATTTTCATTGACACCTCGTGCAATTGCTTCACGTTCCAAACCCAGTTGGCCGATCGATTTTACGATGCGCATGCACGAGGCCTCGATCCCCTTCACAGTTAACGGTTGACCGCTTGCCTCCGAAAACCACCGAGATGAGATTCGCCTGTAGTATCACGCATGCTGTTATACCAATGCATCGGATGACACCTGGATACCGAGTTCAATTATAATCTAGTCCTTGTGCAGCATTGGACAGACGAAAATACGGAGCGTCAATAGGTCGAAGTTCCGTAACGACACAATGTCCGACACCATGGAGCCCAGGCCTCTGACGTCGGCCTTTGAAAGTCCGACTTTCGGGGAAGACAGCTCCTTCCATGTGGAACAGCCCGTGGGATCAATGTCAATATCGCCATGTGGACGGGACGTGGTTCTGGCTTCAAAGGAGGGTCTGCATGTCATTGACCTGGATTCACCATATTCACCACCTCGGTACCTCCCGCATCATACACCATGGGAGGTTGCAGATGTTCAATGGTCTCCGTTTGCCGCTCGAGACTACTGGGTTGTGAGCACGTCGAATCAGAAAGCGTTGGTATGGAACTTGGCTATGAAGACCTGGCAGAACTCTATTGAGCTTGTTCTCCATGCCCACACGCGAGCCATCACGGATATCAACTTCTCCGCTCACCATCCGGATACTATAGCGACATGTGCAGTTGATAGTTTTGTACACTGTTGGGACCTACGATCACCTGCGCGTCCAGCTATCACATTCTCCGATTGGTTCGCGGGTGCTACGCAGGTGAAATGGAACCGACAAGACCCCAATGTCATCGCGAGCTCTCATGACAGGTTTCTGCGTATATGGGACAAAAGAAAGGGCGCGTCCCCAATCAAATCCATCGAAGCGCACAACACTAAAATCTACGGCGTTGACTGGAACAGAGTTCGCCCAGGAGCTCTCGTGACTTGTTCGCTGGATAAAACCATCAAGTTCTGGGACTACACGAACGAGGGTGAAATGCCTGAGAAAATCATCAGAACCCCTTTCCCAGTGTGGAGAGCGAGAAACACCCCCTTTGGATGGGGTGTCCTGGCCATGCCCCAGAGAGGTAACAGTGACCTTCATTTATATAGTCGCAGGGCGGGCGAGGGCGCCAATCCGGATGAAGATCTCCCGCTGGTGCATAGCTTCCCCGGGCATAAGGGCCAGGTGAAGGAATTTCTCTGGAGAGCTCGCGGAGGGGAGTCGGATGGCATCGACCACCGGGAGTTCCAATTAGTTTCATGGGGGACAGACAGGGAGCTGCGCTTGCACAGAGTCGATCCCGATATTCTACAAGGAGTTGGATATCGAAAGGGCGATTCATTCCTAACAAACTTGAACCTCACCCGCAGGGGCGCCGTTTATCGAAGTTTCCGTGATGAAACCGTGAGCCAAGAGTTCGATGATTCGGATTCTCTATCTGCGTTCCAGGAACCCGGCGCTCCTGGTGCTCCTGGAATGAGCACCGTAACTGCTCCTTCCGCTCGCTCTTGGAACGGGGGCAATCCAGATTCGAGGATCGGCATGCAGGGCAGGTCAAATGTCCGCGCCGACACCAATCCAATCTCATGGATGCGAGGTGTTAAGATATCTGGGTGGGAAATCGAGACTTTGGGAGATGAGATCACGCATGTTGGAGAAAAGTTTACCAAAGTCTCCTTTGAGTCTGTTGATGTCCGCCAGCGCAAGGCAACGATATCCCTCCATGGGCCCTGGGGAACTGATGGGGCCTCTTTGTTCTTGAAAGTGGACATCAAATTCCCAGTCGACTACCCTAAGTCTGCAATGCCAACTTTCAGCGTACAGAAGACCTCTGCTGTTACCGACCAACTCTCCGACAAGATCATTGCTGAGTTGCGCACAATAGCGGAGACTTATCTTTCCCACAAACGAGGTTGCCTTGAAGGTGTTGTCCGTTATCTTCTCGGCGAGAGCAGCCTGGAAGAGAGCATTGCTTGGATTCTCGGGGAAACCGCCGAGACGGTCAAATCTCCGGTCAACGGACAGATGGGTGGCGAAGAATCTAGCGATGAGGATGAAGTCGGGCTGTCTCAAAGCCAAGAGCTAGGAATGAGCTCTGAGTTGCTTCGACCCGTCAATGCCAATGTCATGGTTCCCGTGGCAAAGGTATGTGGTGCGCTGTGGGCCAATGATGGCCGTTTAGTGTGCTTTTTCCCTTCAAAGAAGAACGATTCCGCTTCTTTCCTAGAAAACCTAGGGTTCAAAGAAATGTCTAGAGCGGACAAAGTCTTCGAGGGATTTGGAAGATTGCAGACAAACTCACCTGGTCCCAGGATGGGGAGTGGTGTTGCGAGTACGGACGATGGAGCTTCTGAATACTCGGACGATTCGGAGGCTGAAACGTCGAGCTCTTCTGGGTCATCTGGTATTTTGTCGAGCCTGCAGCATCGGTTTCCGACACCTCAAACCTGGCGCAGTGCTGGTAGTCTTGGGTTGTACCGACCACGGTCCACGGACAATTCTCAAAGGTCGACAGTTGGTGCGATGACCGCCAAGTCGTCCGGCCAGGCCCAAAATGTGATATCGATATATGACTTCAGTGACCTGCTTCCAGCAAAACGTGACTTGGCAAGTGGTTATCGCATCTATGGTAAAGGAGCAGACGTATGTGCTCATAACGCTTCTGTGGCCCTGGAGCAGGGTTACCATGAGCTAGCACGGATCTGGGGACTTGTGAAACTCATATTACACAACGAAAAACGTCCCGTTTCTTCCCCCTTGGACTCCGTCGGGAGAACCAGGCAAATGCGAAGAAAAGATAGTGCTGTGGACCTGAGTTTTGACACGGGGGGTCATGACCCTCGGGCAAAAGATGCATTGAGCAGCATTATCCAATGGGGCGCCCACCCTTTTGGTAGCCACTGGCTCATTCCCGCACTATTTGACCACTTTGAACGTATTGGGGATGTACAAATGGTCGCAATGCTGTCCTGCGTGCTTGAACAGTCCAATCGTCAAAAACGATCGCTGAACCAAGAACGTCGTGGTAGAGCAACACTAAAGAAGATGGACAACCAGTCTTTCTCGTTGGACTTTGATTCACACCATCCATCGCAGAGCAAGTCTCAAGCCACTACGCCGTTGATTTCCACGCCTAGAGACAGCCATACTACCCCGGTGACCCAAAGCTCAGGGCGATCTTCTTCTGAGATATGGCGTGCTGATTCCACTCCCCCGTACTCAACAGGCACTACTCCCCCGTTGGCGTCTCGTGGGCTGGTCGCAGAAAGAAGGACGATGGGGCACAACACACCAGTAGCCGTCTCCCCTGACCAACAATCTCAACCGCGCAGTGGATCAGGGATTGGCTCTGTTCTCGCTTCTTCCCTATCCCGATCGTTTACGTTTGGACCTTCTTCGGCGTCGCCACCTACTAGTGCCCTGAGCAAAAGAAAACAGAGTCCGAACGGCAGCCCAAATCTTACAGGGGGCTCGGGTATATGGTCTACAACTTCTTTCCCCTCAAAACCTCCGTCAACGGTTCCGGAATACCTCACGGCTACGTCCACCGCCGTTACCTCGCAAACTCATTCCGATACCGAGAGTGAGAGACCGGAGCGAGGGGCAACATCCAAGCCGCAGCTCAAGCTCCACGCAACCTTGAAAAACACCGGCGCTTTCGATACCGATTGGGGCACACAAACTTCATCTTTCCTCGATCCCAATAAAGACTGGCTGTACCGGTCCTATCGCACTGCTTATGCCCACCTCCTTTCAATCTGGGGCCTACCAGTCCAGCGCACCGAAGTGCTCAAGATTGGCGGAGTCACCGATCAAACCAGCGACGCCAGTCTTCGCCAATGGGCGTATGACAACTTCCAAACCTCACTTTCTCTCCCAACACTACCCCGCAAGGACTCCGCCGCGGCAGCCAGCGAGAAAGGCAACGACGGCCTCGAAATCCAACGTCACTGCATGCGATGCGGGCGTCCTCTCCATCTCTCTATATTCTCTACCAAGTCCACCACTGAAGCAGGAACTAAGTCTGGTGTGAAATTATATCCTTCATCTACCACCTGTTCCAACTGCGAACCCAAGCAGCGACTACCCCTCAAACTCCCCTGCGTCGTCTGCGGAGAAGTCGTTGAAGGCATGCTCACCCCTTGCTTCGGCTGCGGACATGTGAGTTGCTTCGACTGCCATCGCGGCTGGTTCGCCATGTCCTCTGACGCTATCGACACTCCCGGCCCCGAACAGCAGGCAGAATCCCAGTACTGCCCAACAGGCTGCGGGTGCAAATGCTCTGAACACATCGCCACCGATATTCTTCCCCCTTCAAACCCCGTCTCCCCCCTGACGAATCCCAACCAGGAGAATTCGCCTCTAAGCACTCGAGCGCGTAATCGTCACTCCGATGGGTCGGGCAAGCATGTTACCACAAGTGCCCATAACGATCCTCCCACGAATGTTGGCCAACACGAAGATGACCTTGACCACTGGCAGACATCTCCGTTTGCGTCTTTGGCGAGAGGTCTAGGCGGTGGACTGAGTAGGGGGTTGCGTCCGAAGGAATCTGATAAGCGGAAGTCAAAGCCGTCGGGGACCGGGTTTGTACCGAAGAAGTCGGCTATGAACCAAGTGGAGAATCGGTGGTAGTGAGAGGAGGATTGCAGTGATGATTGAGTGGGTTGCCTGTTTGTCCTTGTGGCTTGGAACATTTCCCCCCCTTTCCACTTCTCTTTTTGTTGGTTTTTCAGCCTGTGGTTTCTTCTCTTCTCCCTGTATACCCCATACCCCGAATTTTGTGCTTCTTTGGTTACCAGCTGCATTGTACTATGTCTTGAAGTCGAGCGACTATGGTATAGCATAAGCGATGTTTTTCTTGGTCAGCGTAGTCTGGAACAGTTAATTAATTGACTAGCTACCTTATATCAAGCTGAAAATACACAATGGATAACACTCCAAGGAACTCATCCCATAAGTTAACACATACACACCTTAATCATAACCAAACCCAACCCACCCCCTTCCCCCCAACCCAAAAACAAACATCCTCCCCTCCCCTCCCCGTTCAAATAACAACAGCAACATGATCATCCATATAATCACCAATATTCCCCAAAAAGCAAGCCGCGAGGATCGACACCCCCCCGAACCCAATACTAGCATAATAAACCCACTTATAGCTCTCCGCGTAGGCCATCTGCCCGGCCACCACGACCGCTTGGTACGCAGCCTCGCTGCCATTAATGCCCGGGAGGTGGTGGAGCTGGTCGAGTAGCGAGGCGCCGGTGAGTTCGATGGCGTGCTCGATGAGGATCGGGTCGGTGATGTTGAGCTTTGTGACCATTACGCCGCCGATGTAGTGTGTTGCGTTGGGGATGAATTTCGAGATGAACACGTTGTAGTAGATTGTGTAGCCGATGCTGCCGCCTACGACGCGGATGGAGAGCGTGAGGGCTGAGATGGTGGCGATTAGGTCCTGAGGATGGGGGTTAGTGGTGGGTGGGGAGAAGGAGGAAGGGAGGAGAGGAGAGGGGCTCACGTCTGGGCAGATGATGGTGGTCATGATTGATGCTGGGACGACGATTCCTCCGATTCCGAGGCCCGCGACGGTGAGGATGCCCCAGAGTTGGTAGAGGTTGTCGGGTCGTGCGACTGCCATTGCGCCGCAGCCTACCGGGTGGGTTAAATATCTAGAGTAATAGATGGGGGTTCTGTAGACTTACCTGCAGTCATCAAGATGCTGCTGATAATCAACAACTCCTTGTTGTGTCCTCGGAGGACACTCAGTAGCCAGAGAACGATGCATGCACCGCCCATGATGCCGAATCCAATGGGCAGGCTTCGAACACCGACGTCCACGGGGTCGTGACCATAGACATTGAACGACTGAGTGGGCCAGAACATAATTACCGAGAAGAAGTTCGCTCCGGAGATGAATGTGATCACCAGCGTTAAGCCCAGCGTGCGTGGTTCCTGCTTCAACCGACTAGGGAAAATGGGGTATTTGGCGCCGTATACTTCCCAGAGGCCAAATGCAACTAGGATAACGAATCCAAGGATAAGTGGGACAAGCACATGGGCTGATGTCCAGTCGTACTGCAGTTCGATAGCTTAGCTTCGGTGGTCATAAACATCCAAGAGGAAGTACTCACTTGATAGCCACCCCATTGCATGCCGGCCATAAAAAGAATCAAACCAACTATGCTGAGGAATCCACCAACATAGTCCACTCGAGAGAGGATATCCCGTCTACTCAATCCTTCTGAGTTGGTTCTGGGAGGCGGGAAGTAAAACAGGGTTGTGATGAGCAAGCCAAAGCCGCTCCAGGCGCCGCAGAACGCACCAACGTAGCGCCAACCACTGTGTGATGAAATAAGTTGGGCCCAGAGAACGGATGGACAAAAGGGCACAATGGTGAAGATCAGCACGGCGACATATTTGCCTCGCTGTCTGGTTGGCGCCATTTCCGACGTAGCAGCCAGTGCGGTCAATTCATTGACCCCTGCTCCTGCTCCGGCGATCGCCATTCCACCTGCTCATAGTCAGTAGTTTGCTACAATGCGCTCTATTCAGGGTTCGCCAAAAAAAAATTATTTCTCGGATATACATACCAATGAAAATGTTCATAGTATTAGCGGTACTGCACACGATCATGCCAATGCAGACGAGAGTAGCCCCGATGATGGCAACATAGCGACGACCGATCAGATCCGACAGCGACCCGACGAAAGGACAGACCCCAGACAGTGCTAATAGATTCGCAAGAACCTATTTATGGTCGAGGATCAATCAGTTTCGCCGCACGCAACGAGGAAGGCTATCGAATCAACCTACAAACCAAACCCACCGATCAGACCCACCAATATCAGCGTAGATGTGCGGTGGGATGCCCCCTATAAAGATCCATCAGCATAGGTGTGCGAAGCGGTCGTAATGTCATATGCCAATTGACGACGCACCGAAGAGGTATACCGGAATCTGACTGCCCGTCCACAGAAACGCCATCGCCGTGAACCCCATGAATCGACGAAAGGTCATCTAATTGAAAATAGGCTTATCATCAAGCATCTAGTTCTTGCATGCATGAAATCAATGCGAGGTGTACTCACTGGACGTGCGTTCTCAGGCTCCCCTGCCTCATCCACGTAGGAATTCACCGTAACGTCTTCATGGTGACTGTATTTCTGACCCTCACCTCCCTCGGCTATTTGTCTTCCGGACGCTTTCTCATCTACATGAGATGAATTGGAGAGATTGGTGGTCGCCATGATTGCGACAATGGAAAAGGCAGGCCCAAGCCTAAGCACAGAAAACCAGCACGGCAAAGAGAAGAGGGATCGCTGACGACAGAAAAACACTCAAGACGAAACCACGGGAGGAAAGAAAGCAACAAGCTTCAACCTAAGCCACGGCATTTTATATGCCCCGCGAAGGTGTCACTAGGCGCGTGGGCCAGCAATGCTTGTCCGTACTCCATGCATACCAGTGAGGGGCAAGTAACGGTACACAGAGCGATCGAAGACGTAGTAGACTTTCGGCTTTGGTGCCATTCTGAGACACAGCCGAGGCAGCGCGCAATATCTCTGGGGAAAGCCAAAGTCAGTGCGCATGACGTTAACACAGCCGACGCCGGCGAGCCATGGATGATCGATGGATGGAGGATCGAGATGGGCACTTCTCATACGCCGGGGAGATTGCGGGGAGGCAAAAACGTGGAGAAGCGCGAAACTCAAGTCGGGGGCCAGAAGCTGTCGATGCTCGCGGTGCTTATTTTTGCCAGTGACTCGGTCTCAATTGGCAATTCGTCTGGTTGGTGTCGAAATGGCCGATCTAGACCTTGCTCTTGATACTATTTATTTGTTACCATGAGTAGAGATGTCTGTTTATGTACATAGATCTGAGATACACTATCATCCACGTAACAATTCCCATGAATTCAGAGCATATGGCTGTCTTCGAAATCCTGGGAAGTTTGTGGCGTTCATAGCGCTTAAGCCAACGCAGAGTGGTCGACGCTTCCCACCCCCCAACATTAATCCCATGCCCCATAACATGCCCTTGTACTATTCGTATAGCAAACCTCAATATTTCGTGCCAACCTCTTGCAGCTTGTAATTCTTGGGGACCACGAAAAGCGCGGAGGCTTGAGCGCACAGCCTTCCAACGGGGTCACGCACTTCGCCAGTCACGTAGGCCTTGCGATCATTGCTGCGTTCCTGGTCGACGGTCGCGTGGAACGAGTAGAAATTGCCCGAGTACACCGGAGCCCGATAGTTGATTTCGAGGTTGGCAGTAACCCCCGTGCGCGCAGGAAGATGGCGAATTGCGACACGTCCTAGACTCTCATCTATCACAGTGCCAAGAGCTCCGCCATGAACGACTGTTGGCCATCCTTCCAGCCCCGGCCCAAGGAAGACCACGCTAACCGCCTTCTTCTCCTTCTCGTTCCAAAAGACTTTCTGTAGGGCCAATCAGTTAGCGAGGAAGGGACAAACATCCGAGGTCGATCTGATCTGAGGCTGCCGGCAGTTGAGAGGTTCGGCAGATTGCAGTAGCTCGGTAATATCGAGCGTCGCATTGGCCATGAATACTGGCTCAGAACTGGCCGAATGCCTGGAATAGACAAGACAACTATCACAGCATTGGGCTGAAACGGAAGAGAAAAGCAAACATACCTGAAGCGCCAGCCCTCGGCTCCCGCTCAAGGGTCCAGACGTCAGCCTCCCTATCTTGTCCTCCTCCGAATAATTCCCATACACGTCCGCTTCCACATAGTCCGGGTTCTTGCGGAGGTCTCGCACGAGAGGCAGGCCGTTCTCGTAAGCGTAGTGAATCTCCTCCAGCATGACAATATCTTCAACTGATCCCGGCACAGGAGGTGCGGAAACTTGCCAGTCTATCCATTTCCCAGCTGCCAGCCCCAGTCCACCAAATAATCCAGTATAGATCAAACGTCGCGGCCACTTCGGTGAATTGGGTGCGGGAGGATGAGCAACGGTGCTGCTGTTTCGTGGTCCTAGGAAACTGGGCCGAGACCATGGTTGCGCTTGGATCGCGAGGTTGCGCAGTCGGGATTGTAAAACTCTGCGAGGGCCAAACATGGCGGGTCACATCGCAATCCTGCGCTGATAATTAGGACGTGGTGAGAGCGGCGCGAAGAGCGGTTTATTGGATTGCTTTGTTGAGCGACGCTAAAGACCGCGAAGGGCAACAATGCCGAGGTCCATCGATTATCACGTGATACATACGATAGTCTATGGAAGAGGATACTATTCAGACACGATCATACGGAGTAGTAATTGTGAGAGTGTACAAATCGCTGTTCAAGTCGCATTATGAAATACTAGTACTCGGCAGTAGAACGAGGGGGAAGAAAACCTAAGCTCAGGGCATTCAATCGACAGATTAAGATAATAACGGTCTATCTGACAAGCACGACAGGAAGACGAAGTATCGAATTTCCCCATCCCAAGTCTAGTTGAAAATTTGTCTTAACCATGAGCCATAAGTACATAATCGACGTTAAGTTATAATAGTGACTTTTCAATCGTGAAGCATCGCGTCAAGCATGACTCTTAGTTGGCAGTTGGCAGATCAATTGCGCGATAGAGGCAGATAAGGGCAGAATGAGATTCACCTAAAAGGGAAATTAAATCAGCATGAAGGTCACACGGGTTGAGCAAGATCGGGGCAGCTTACCACCACCAGAGAGTGTTTCAATCTTCTCGGCCTCCACCTCGGTCACCTTTTCGTCATTGAACCACCACCACTTTCCGCTCTCCCCTCCATTGTCCTGCTTCTTCACGTATGCCGTGTAGTGACCACTGTCGGCGCTGGCACCTTGGTGCGTAATGACTCCTCTAAGTTCATAAAGACCCGAGCTGTTGGTTCCCGCCTCCACGGCAGGCTTCGGGCCCAAAAGCTCAGCCAGCTCCTTCTTCGCCGCGAGGCTGGACGCGTTCTTCTCCGCTTCGTAGTCAGCATCGGTTTTGTAGATATCAGTCATTGTTGTGTCTCCATCCTTCTCGGATTTTCCTGCCTCAACGCGTTCTTCGGTTGCCTTCTTCTTCTGCATGGGCTCTATAGAGGCACCCGATTCTTCCTCAGCCTTCTTCTCTTCCTCCATCTTGTGGGCAAGCTTCTGGCGCTTTCGGGCACGCTCAACGTCGACTTCTTCCTTCCGGATCTCGCGCACCTTGTCCCTGATGGGGATGAGCTCTTTCTTAAGCGTCTCGGTGCAGAAGTCAACAGCATCCAGCTCCGCAGGGAATGTCACCTTCCGCATGATCTTCGCCTTCTTCTGGGTCTCGCGCTTCCAGAAGAATCGGACGAAGTGGACGGTCAAATACTTGGGCAGTCGTGCAATGCGAGAGCGCTTGGTGTAGATAGCGTCACGGTCCAGGGTGGGGGAATGCTTTTCAATCTTTTCCTCCAGACCCGCCATTATGCCGTCGGACAAATGATTCGTTTCTTTGCCAATGTGGCAGTCAAGTTTGTAGAAGACATCCGAGCTTTCATTCGGCTGCTCTCCAACATCCTTCGCAGCTTGTTCGTCACACTCTGTAATCGATTCAAATTTGCCAGCCATGTACTTGTCCACGAAGGAGACCTCAGTCGAAGAGTCCCCTTCGCCCTCCTTCAGGACCAGCTTGTTCCGCAGCTGAGTTACGATCTGTGAGTAGGCTTCCTCGGCATCCTGTTGAGCATAGCCGTGTCCATTTCGATCCTTCTGAGCAAATTGGGGAAAGGCGTTTCTCAGGGAGTTGAGGAACATCAGCGGGGGGAACCCTTCTTGAGTCTCGGACATCTGCTTGAACAAGTCTCGCAGAGAGGCTGTGAGGTCCATGGAAGAGCCGAGACCACCCAGACCAAAGCTGCTGAGATCGGAGACACTTGATCCACCTCCAGACGCAGAAGGACGATACCGCTGGAGCTCCTGCTGGAGCTCTGGCACACTTCGCAAAGTCTGCAGGGTAGAGTTCAGATAGCAAGTATTTCCGAGGTTCTGCAAACCAGCAGGGGTAGCTCCCTCCGCCTTTGCAGCCTCGGCTGCGGTCATATCCTCTAGGAATTTGATTGCTTCCTTCGGACGGCCTAAGTCCACGGCACCTTGTTCCCCGGGCGTCCCCATCATCATGAATGTCTGGCCCGGTTTGGCCTTGAGCGAGGATAGCGGGGTATCATTCTTAAGCTGACCTCCTTTCACTAGGATCTTCTGTCTTTCGGGTTCGACACCAGTGAGGGAGTAGAGCTGGTACTTGAGGGTTTCGCCGTTCGAGGCCGGGTCGAGCTCGACCTCATGACGTTTACCTTGGTGCTTAACGATGACTATTGTCCGGACGAGAGAAGCGTTAGGTCGGAGGCAAATCAAGCTTTGGAAGGGGGTCAAACGAGCATACCGGGTATCGACGCCATTCTGATAGATCCTGCGAGTAATCTTTGGATATTAGAACAAGGCTTTCTGATCGGGTTGATGATGAAATGCGGTGCATAAATAATGGCGTTGGCAGTCATCGCTTTCGGGGAGGCGTGGGGCGGGCGGTGCAAACAGAGCAAACACCCACCAACAGGCGACGACATCACGGACCCAGCGGGACATCATCGCTGCCTCCTGAACATTGGATCGAGTCGGAGCTGACAGCATCATCAATTTTCGGAGTTCGGGCACCAGTTCACGGTCGTTGCTGCATCTCCATCATGGTAAGCTATGTTACCTAGCAAATCCGCATCACTCCCAGCTGACAATGTACAGTCTCAATCATTGCGCCCTTATCTTCAATGTGTCCGGTCCTCCCTTACCGCCGCACTTACAGTGTCGAACTTCGCTTCCCAGACCTCCGAACGTCATAACGTACCCGAGATCGAGGCCCAGACCTCCCCGGAACTCATCCTCAATCCCCTCACAGTTTCGCGAAACGAGAACGAGAAGGTCTTTATCGAACCTAGTGTGAACAGTGTCCGTGTCAGCGTTCGGATCAAACAAGCAGATGAGATCGAGCATATCTTGGTCCACAAGTTTACTCGGTTCTTGACGCAGCGTGCTGAATCGTTCTTCATCTTGCGAAGGAAGCCAGTGAAGGGATACGACATCTCATTCTTGATCACGAACTTCCATACGGAACAACTCCTGAAGCACCAATTAGTGGAGTTCATAATCCAGTTCTTGGAGGAAGTGGATAAGGAGATTTCGGAGATGAAGTTATTCGTACGTATGCCATGGCGACTGTTTGTTCCAATGCTGATTATTTTGCAGTTGAACGCTCGTGCTCGATTCGTTGCTGAGTCGTTCTTGACACCGGTAAGATACCCAATGTTCGCTTCAATTAGAGAATCGCAGTCTAACATGGGACTACAGTTTGATTAAGCTGTTTTTCTATGTTACCCGTTCGACCTACAAATATTACATGAACTTTATTATCTTGTCATCCAATAGCGACTATTGTATAGGCGATCTAGGCTGGTTCCAGAGATAGTTCCCCTTACTTGCTTTACGCTGTCTTCCTTAGACACTCATACCTTGGTGCTATAGTGAGGTTGTCCATTGCACCTACTCGATAACAATAAATTCTAGCAGCCACAGGTTGTGTCCGACTTTCAAATGACGTCTCAAACACATGTAGAGGGCTACTTATACCCTACCCAAAGCATCCATGATTCTTGTCTCTCTGGCCAATACCATCGCCACTCTAGCTCCTTGCAACTGAAAATAAAGCCTGCCCTTGATCACGAAATACTGGCAATGGTCTAGGAGGTTCGTGGTGACGGACTCACCTAACATACAACTGCCCAAGCATTGTACTGCATACAAACATTTTCAATGATTGATTGTTTGAACGGGGCCAACGCAAGTGTTCTCAGCTTCCATTGGCTACCAAATCGCAGCTGGTGCGTTTCTACAATAGCACCAATTCTGGCGCATTGACTGTACAATCACCTTGCGCTCTCTGCCTGTGCATCATCACTATCAACTCACCCTCTCGCCCAATCGTTTCAGCTGATTTGTGGTTCTTCTACAGCTGATTTCACTCTCCACTAATTCAGTGAATTTACTCTCACACAGAAGCCCTTGCTCAATGAAGGACCAGTGAATATGAGCATCATCTGGACACTTCCCAAAAATGCTTAGGAGAAATCCTCAGTCTAAGGACTCTTTCACTTTAAAAAGGAACTCCCCTGAGACAAGATCTCTTCCTGTTACTTCCCCTCTGCAATCCCTCAACGCCTGTCAACCCTCCTAATCCTCCATCCCCCCCAAGAAGGAACGAAGGCCAACTCTAGCTCAGATGGCCAACAGGGGATCTGGTATCCCACTCATGGGATATGAGTCCCCGATTCCCTACCCACAGTTTGAACGGCTCAGTCTGGGCGCGTTCAACAGTCCCGTGGCCACTGATTCCAGTCAAATGCAGTCCTCATTTTCCCAAGGCCACCGCTTGACTCGTCATTCTATCGCAAGGCCTGCTTTCAATCGTTCTGCACATTCTGATTTCCATAGAGCTGTGCACTTTGCAGCTGGAGCACTAACTCCTACGCCTACTAATTCGCAGTTTCAGCTTGGCACAGATCCTTTCTCTCCGACACCCTATGATCATTCCAGATCAAGAGTCCCCCAGACTGCATATCCTATGACGAGCCGTACCCAAAATGCCCCCCTACACTATTTGCTTAGAGAGGACATCGAAGCCCCTCCGCGCGGACCTCAACGCCTCTCAGAAGTAGATAGGAGCCTCGAAACAGTTGCTTTACCCAGCGAAATGCCGCTTGGAAGCTATGTACATCTCAGAGAACCGCCTCAGTGGGGTGTAATCAAGATATCAAACGTTAGCTATACCTTCACCAGTCCGAGAGGCGCTTTGCTAACTAAGCGAAGATTCCATATTCTATCACCAAGCAGGAAATCGTGCAGTTCGTTGGCAGACAGGCGCGTCTCCTTTCGTCGGACAAGGGTTGTCCGATTCACATAATTATGGAGCGCTCTACTGCGAAGACTATGGACTGCTACGTTGAGTTTGAATCTACCACAAATGCCGAGGAAACAGTCAATCGGATAAACCGGATCTATGAAACTGGTCGTCCTCCACGTCTGGGTAATCGGCACGTGGATGTCGAATTGAGCAACCAAGACGCTTTGCTGAAAGATCTTTTTCCACGGGCCAAGTGTGTCGTGTGGGAAAATGGACTTCCTATTGCCATGTCCAACACCGACCCCTGTTCCACTGGCTTTGCTGGTTTTCTCACTAGCGAGGAAATTGTTGGTGCCATCAGGCACGCAGAGATTCCGCACCGTGTAAGTCTTCCTTGTTCAATGTTGACCTATTCAGCATCGTGAGACGCAAGCTGATGTCTTGGCCTGCTTGTATCAGTCGCCATTCTGTGCAAAGTGTCCCCAACGTACCTATGAGTCCACAGTCAGTACGCTCTACAAGGTGAGCTAGAAGTCTTCTTTGATTTTGAGCAGTGGACAATCCTTACAAAACTTCTAGTTCCCGTGGTACGCGATTAAACTGTACACTGTTCATGAACGCAACCAGCTTTTTGAATTGATCAACCGCCACATTCTTTCGCTTGTTTCAAGGATGAAAAGAGCCAACACCATCGGACTTGACAATAGACTGTTACGAGAACTTCTCTATGCCGGTCTGAATTGCCCAGCGTTCAATGAACGCCAAAAGTATACCCTTTGCATCAATTCTGAAGACATGTCGGAAATTGTCCGATTTCCTGAAGCCGGAAAATGGCACCCCTTTGATTCCCTGGTCAGGATTCCGTTCTTCAGCAGCATGACAAATCTCGTATGTTCCTCTCCGGGTTTCACTTCATTCTATCTGGGGCTCTACTAACTGAATCTTCATTTAGTATTACTCACAGTTGATTTCAAGGGGCACGCTTCCCGACGAAGAGGTGCCAGGATTACCAAACAATTTTCCCTTCGCCAACGTGGACTTGTATTCCCAGGCCCCCTATGGCCCAATCTGGTTCGAATGGGAAGCAGAGACCGCAAAAGATATGCCATGGGAAGATGCAGTCCGGCAAGAGATGATAATCTTGTGCAACCTTGTCCTCAGTGGCTGGGTGGCCCGTGAGAAAGAGCAAGTCTTTGCAAGTAAAGCTGAACAACCCTCTTCCTTGGACAATCGTGCTGCTCAAATGTACGAGTCTCTTCATTCTACCAGCACCTCCCAATCTAGCGCTCTCACCGATTCTACATCGAGAGTGGATGTCTTCGTCACCCCCACTCGTCGTGCTAGCATGGCTGCGAATAACGACAGTCCTTTTGCCAATTCCGCGTCTTGGAATCAGAGATTTCTTCTGAACCCTTCTGCGAAAGCTAGAGGCGGTTTCCAAGGCCATCGGATCACTCAATCGACCCCAACTTGCCTCCCTTCTTCCGAGCAGAAGTAGGAGTTCGGGCTTTACGAATTTCCTTGATGTCCATTTCTCTTAATGTTTTTGCTTTTTGACACACGTACAGAATCTTGTGCCGAGACTATTATGCGCTTGTTCATTGGATCGAAGTTCACACTGCACAGATTACCCATGACCTGAACGATATCACGTCTTGGATGAATTTAGGAAAGTCATACAGAGAAGGAACTTGGATTCCTGGCTATCTCTAGCGTTCTTTACCTTATCCCAGGCAGTTTACACGAACAGTGACTATCATCGAGCATATCATAAGCAAGCATCCTCTTATCTTCTTTCGCAGCGTTCTTTTTCTGTGCATATTTTCCTCCTCTTTGCTGGTTCAATAGTTCAGCTCAATGCAATTCATTCCATTCATGATTAGATCCTTTCTCGTTAACTCATATCTACATTCTCTTGAGGACTGTCTTGCTCCTCCTTCTTTTTCTGCTCTTCAAGCTGCTTCTTCCTCAACAACCCTTCAGCCCTCTTCCTCTCCCTCCTCGTCTCCGAATCCTCCCAATCAGCAGACCCCTTCGCCTTGCCTTTCGTCTTCGCACCGCGCGAATGACCCGCCGCACACAAGTCCAGCATACCCGAGCGGAACCGCTCCTTCCGCTCCGTATTGATCTCGAATCGCTCATTGGACATCGCCACCAACATCTGCAGGTATTCTTCTGTCACAAGACTCCGAATGACGGGCTCCTCGTCCGCGTGGTCATCGTCGTCGGTGCTCTCTTCGCAGTACCCGATTACCGACTCCAGTGATAGACCGGCCGAGCGCACAGCGACAATCGGACTCGGGCCGTCTTCGGCATCCAGACAACGTAGACTTTGCAGGCCGCTTTCGCGGAAGCCAGATGCTGATGCGGCAGATAGAACGGGGTGCGCGTGGTGGAGTGTAGCTGCCATTATATGCAAAATCTAGATTGTGACAAAGGTGTTAGTGTATAGGCAAATGCACGGATATCCCGAGGTATAGAACTATAAGGAATTTAGGGTGGGATGATTCGCAGCGATGTTAAGTGCACCATCCAAGGGTGCAGAAAGTAAGGGCAAAGGATGGTAAGAGATGAAACCATGCGAACCAAAAGTTTGGCCCACAAATAACCCAGAGGTTTTCAGGCAGACACAAGGAAGGAAAAGCGAAGGTCATGTGGCACGTACCATAGGCTCGAAATGGAAGCGCACCAGGCGCGGGGCTCGGCCTTGTTTGTCCATCCCCGGAGGCTTTCCATCGCCAGGCACCATCCCAAACAGTTCACACAACGATTTGGTAGTTCCTTCCTGGGCTGGCTTTGTTTCCGAATCGCCAGGTTCAGATTGAGATCCAGACCCAGGGGCTCCATACTCCTTCAAAGATTCGTGGGATACGAACAGCCATTTCCCGGCTCCTTTGCCCCCCGAGGGAACGAACTGTCTTTGTGGTTCGTTTGAAGATCCGTCCTGTCCAGGAAGAGCTTGCTGCTGTGGTTGGGCTTTGCTCTTTCTTCCCTCCAGGAACACGCTGATTCGTCCAGCGCAGCTACTGGTCGTTACCAGGCCTGGTAGGGCGTTCACGTCGCGGATGAGATCGCGGATGCCCTCGTCGACGGAGCCCTTGGGCGACAGATCTGTATACTCAGCATCTGGGATGGAGAGTTCTGCAAGGATTTTGCTCTTGCGGGACAGAAAGGTTTCTGGTATCGTGTCTTTTTCACTTTCGCTCATTTCTCTCGTTGCTATTGCTCTATTTTTGGGAGTGCCTTATTAATAGAGTCGAAAGAAATATCAAGCTATCAAAGAGGAAGAGATCCAGTCTTTCCTTGTGGCTTCGGAAAGGAAGCTTGTCGATGCAGAGACTGACAAGTATTCTTTAGAGGGCCGATTCGGCGGATGAAAAATCCTTGTTTCAAACGAAGCGGAACTCGAGACCACAAAGACCTAACGGATAATGCTCCAATCATCCACGGGTGATCAGACAGTCTTCAGCAGCTATACAAAGGGAATGGGACAAAGAAAGGCCCGCATTGATCATGTCCCGCAAATCCTTCTCGAACCACGACGTCTTCTGCCGAGCGGACGCACTAAGTTTAGCGGTGCGGAAGCAAAGAACTCGCCCGCTTTTTCCACGCGAAAAACGCCCCAGAAGTTACCAGCCTCCTGGTCGCTTCCCGGTCCCTTTGTCCGTCTGAAAGTCTATCAGGCCGCTAACGACCCGTAAGCCGGTCAAGGAACTTTACGAACAAGCCACGGCAACGCCTCTTATACGACATTACGTCCTCCCAACCTTTCGTTCATACAACTAATCGCATTTCAGTCAGCGTAGCTATCTGTACTTGCTCCAACCGTGTCCTAGACATCTGAACCTTTCCCCCTTTCTCTGCTAGACTGCCAGAGGAGATACTAAGGGTCTTCCAACTTTCCCTTTGCCATGCCTCGTCGATCGTCTCGGGCCGCTCCCGCGTCGGCGCCAGCTCCAGCGCCGGCACCAAAAAGGCGCGCGTCTGGAAGGCTATCCGCAGACTCCAAAAATGATCCCAAAAGGCAAAAGTCCGGGGATACCACGACCAAGAAGCCCGTGAAGGCTACCGCCAAGACGAGCAAGTATTTCCAAGATGATCCAGAGGAATCGGAGAACGCCACGCCCACGGCTGTAAGTTTTTTTGCTCTCAAAATTTCACCTGCTTACACCCCTCATCCCTCGATTCGGAATGAGAGGCAGCCGCAACTAACAACGCCGATGTCGGCAACTCACCAGGGGAGTCTCAAAACATCGAAAAGCGCAAAGAGCAGAAAAGGAAGCGCCAAATCTCGGAAAGACGATTCAGGCGAAGACAGCGGAAGCGACACAGTGTCAAAAGACAAGCAGCTGTGGAGAGAAGGAGTCACGACTGGCCTCGGGCCTGGAAAGGAAGTCTTCATTAAGAAGCCCAAGGCCAAGGATCCAGGAAACATCCCATATGAAGATCATACTCTGCATCCCAATACCTTCGAATTTCTGGAGACTTTGTCAGAGAACAATGAGAGGACCTGGCTCAAAGGTACCTGATTAGCAGTGACCGCCTCGACTTCTTTATGGTATCATATTATGGCTGACCGCCAACCCTTCTGACAGCACACGATGCGGACTATCAGGCTGCAAGAAAAGACTGGGAAAGCTTCGTTGTATCTCTTTCAGAGAAAATCTCAGACGTCGATAGCACAATTCCCGAATTGCCGGCTAAGGACCTGGTAAGTGCTATCAATCTCCAAGTGAACGAATGAAGAGCACAAGAAAAGACGAAGACACAGGATAAGAAAAAACGGTTGAACAAAAACAGAGGGATCTTTATTAACAATATGTGCTCTAGATATTTCGCATTCACAGGGACGTCAGGTTCACCAAAGATCCTACACCTTATAAGGTACGTATGAAGCTCGAGACTCCCACGGCTGAGTGGGAATCCGTCGTACCCGTCCGATTCTAGCTATTGTGGTATTGGGTCGAACGAACTAACCATGACGTCGAACAGCCTTACTTTTCAGCTGCTTGGTAGGTATATACCCGGCACTGAGCAATCATCTCTGTCAGCTAATTTTCTATCTCAAAAGGTCTCGCACAGGTAAAAAGGGCCCTTATGCCTCTTACTATGTCCATTGCCAGCCCGGATCCTGCATCATCGGTAGGTCATTCCTCTTCAAAGAAATGTGATTGTTTCCAAATGACGGGACACTATCTTCACAAACTGTTTGAATTCAACCCGTGTTGCCCATGTGTCATACTTGCGGCCCGTTTTCCAACATTCGGCTGGCGTTCATGCCCGATGTCGGTTTAGACCTCAAAGCAACGACTATGACGTCCAAGCTCTATATCCACCAATTTGTATCAAAAATTGAGCGACATGCTAATGAGGGATTGGTATGTTCTAGGCGCAGGAATGTGGCAGCCAGACGCCGACCAATTGGCGCTTATTCGAGAAGACATCGATCGCAATTCGCACGGGCTGAAGGCCATACTGAACGAGAAGAATATGCGCCGCGAAATCTTTAACGGGGTACCTGATGATGAAGAGGAAGCCTTGAAGGCGTTTCTCGATCAGAACAAAGAGACTGCTCTCAAGATCAAACCTAAGGTAGGTGTATCATTGCCCTATAACCCAGGTGCCATGTCTAGCATCCATCAAGCATTCTATCATCCCCGTATTCACGCATTTGGAATTGGTTCGGTTCGATATTTCCAGGGGAACTGTTGAGGCTTGGTGAGATCAAATGTGACGGCTTTCGGGGGCGTGGGAGGCTGTCGGGCGCATGCCATCACCGTGGGCAACGTATAACCTGCGTTAGCATGACCCTCAGGTCACCATTCACGGTGTTAATTCTTTCTCTGGGGAATATTGAGAGCAAAGGGACCAGAATAACCCTCCGCTCGATGAAAACAAGGGTCGAGTTGGCTTCAGCATGATGATGCCTTGACGCCCGATGGTGTTCTGGCCCGAGCTGTGGCTTGTTGTCTTGCAACCATCAACAGCCACAATTCTGATCATGAATATTCAAGGAAAGAATGCGATGGTCATCTTGAATGGCCCTTGGGCATTCGAAACCATTGTTATTGATGGACATGCGGCCCTGAAGATGTCAACCAAGCGCTCTTGATAGCAACACCGGTCTGCCCAGGTTGGTGCTTGAGCGCGGGTGGCTCCGACAGGCCTACCCGTGTCTGGGTCTGGGTCACAACACCCTTTTCGACCCAAGCCCAACCCCCTGGGACACAGCTAGCACGGGAAAACTGTCTGTTGTCCGGGTGTCCCACTGGGGGCTTTGGTCTCGAAGAGTTTTCGACACCGTCTCATCTGTTTCCATGGTTCAGTTTATGGACTATCCTCGGCGGACCACATCTCTCGTCCAATTACATTGCTGACGTGACCTTTTCCTGCCCAGGGATACGATGTGGACAACGAAAATATCAAATTGCTTCGTCTACGCAATTTCACTATTTGCAAGTCTCTTGCCGACGATGACTTTAGGAGCCCTGACGCACAGGCTAAAATTGCGGCGCTCATTGGTATCGTTGAACCTTTTGTAAGGCCCCCATCCTGTCTATCCTTGCTGTCCCGTCATTTGGCTTTCCCCTCCGCTTGTCCGCGCCTGCGTCTATTGGACCTTAGTGCCCGTATCAGTTACAAGGCCCTTTTTTCCCCTCTCAATCTTTCCCTTTCTAGCCACTTCAGCGGTGTGGCTTCGGGCACAACGATACCCACCGCTAAATCCATCATCAGAGGATGACAGGGGTGTCTTGGAGGGGACAGATGAGGGGATGCGATGAGAAAAGTGTTTCACTGACCAGAGAACAATTATCGCTCAATAGGTTACGTATCTCAACGGCGTCGTCATGCCGGATGCTGTGGATCCGGCGAACAATTCTGAAAACGAATCCTCGGACAACTCTACATCGGAGTAGGAGAATCAATGGAGAATCCGTGATAATGGGTCCTTAATACCTTCAATGGTGATGGTTGTGTTTTATTTCGCGGTGTAGGTGTGTCGAACTTTTTGTTTTTCTTCAGTAGTGTCACCACTTTTCCTGCTCGTTATACGGAGTATTGCTGTGATCTTTCTCTAGATGTGTACCTGCCGTGTTTTCGTTAGATCATTTTCGTTCTGATGTGTTGGACATGACTACTCTTGGCTATGCATGTTTCGCGTCCTTTCTGCGGTCTCGGTGCGAATTTGTAACCATGCCCTTCGAACCAAGATGACTTATGGATCCCAGTTGGGAGACAGAGTCTCTTAGTTCCTTCCTTTCTGTGCTCTGGAGGGATTTGCCGCCTCTGGACTTGGGGGTGTAACTAGGCAATCACGCGTTCTTTCGCATCATTGGCTTGGAGGGCTTGCTGTAGTCATAGCACCGGACGTCCCTTTTTTCTGATTTTTTTCTTTCTCACTTGTCTTTTCTTGCCCGTGCTGAGCTAAGGACATTGATAACTAGTCCCGGGATTTCCCTTCCCTTACCGCCATTTCTCATCCCCCAATAATGGCGGTGATCGTGTCCCATTCCCGGACAACCTTGCCATGATTCCTGAGTCTGAGACCTTCACCATAGTGACGTGCATGTTATGGTCTGCTGTCCGCGCGCCGCAGTCGGCCCGTCGGGCGTGCCGTTAGCTCCACGGCCGCTGCCTATCCACATCTGCAACCGGGCGAATTCGTCCATGGCCCTTGAGGATCCTTACCCCCTCCTCTTCTCCCATTGAACGGAGACGTCTGTCTCTGGTCTGCATACATGCCCAAACAATTCCCCGATGCACGAATTCCTGTCAGAGGTGGAGAAAGCAGAAGAGGAGACGAGAGGGGGGAGGGCAGGCAGGCAGGCAGGCAGGCAAACAGGGGAGGGGAACGAGAGAGAGAGAAAAGATCCTAAAGCCATTGCATCAATCACAAACCATGCTGTCATCGACATAGCCAAGCTGGTTTGCCCCCTCAGCCATCCATCCAACGGCATCCACTCATCCTCGCTCTGGACCTTTTCCTCCTGCTTCTTCAGCGGTGTTCGCTCGATGACACCCGAAGCCCCTCCTCCCCCCTCTTCCATCTTGGACGCAGACAAACAAGTCCCCATGAGGGGAAAGGGCGCGAATTTGGCCTCTAACAGACCGTACATTCTGTAGTCCCCTCCCCTCGAACCCTCTCTCCAGCGAAATGATCACAAGGGGAAAAAATCAAAACGCACAACCGTCCCTCTCCGGCTAGAATCCATGCAAGCCATGAAACTCTGTCTGCGTCAAATGGCCACCGACAATTTGACTCGGTAGTACCCTAGCGGAAACTTTTTTCTCCCTTTTCTCTTTTCCGTTTCTTTTCTTACCTGGTGTCCTGTCTGAGTCTCTCGGCCCCGATCCCATCGTTCAGCGGTAGATAGATAGATAGTTAGTCGGAGTGGGTTGTTACTATAGATGATGGGACGATCTTCACATATTGGTAGTTTATCTATCTTTTCTTTGTTGTGCGTGGTATGGCGTACACCGTACACCGATGTTAGTCTCATTTATTTTCATTTGAATTCCCCTTAGGCCTAAAATAGGAAGATGAGAGGTCAGATTCCGTTCGTTGGGCCGTTCGTTCATTCATGAAATGGACTGATTGGACTGACTGGACTGGACTGGCCTATGGTCCGTGTGTTAAATGCTAAGTCGAAATCTGAATGAACAAGGTTTGCGTCTATGAAAGGATAAAGACAGAATGAAAGAAAAATCACTCCGCACAATCTCTTGTAAGATGAACAGTACAATGTTAGCAGTTAGTATTCTGGCACAATAATGAATGTTCTTTTTTGTGTGTTGGTGCTATACTCCGAAACAATGTCATGTTCTTTTCTATATTTTTTCGGCAACGTCCAACAAACAACTATATATGTACATGATATCACCGACTAAGACGATCATCTCAGTATATAGAATAGGTAGGTCCAGTAAATAGATACCACAGTACAGTAGGTAAACTACCAATACGATGTAGTTCAACTACTGTACTTCGGCCGGTAAAAAAAGGTATTACTATTATTTCTATAAAAACTTTTTTTTTTTTTAAAAAAAAAAAAAAAAAGTAAACGGAAGCAGATCTCCCCCTTAGCACAAGATAGGGTTCCAATAGTCACCGTACATCGCAATTCCTCCAGTGCCCACTCGTAACGGTATCCGGCCGAACTCACCCTACCCAACTAGCACTACCCACTGGACTATTTATTCTGTAGTTTACGGGGTAGGTACTTGTATGTGTAGGTAGGGTTGTCGGTTAGGTAGATATCGGAAGTGAATTGCCGGAAAGGGCGGATTATCTATCTATCTATCTATCTATCTATCGAGCATCTAGGGATCTACTTCGTACAGTATCTTAGCTTAGATGGTGAATTGTTTCAGCCTTCAGCCATCGTATACATTATGTACTTGAATACCGTACATGAATAAACAAACCTGGAAGTAAAGTAACTGCCAGCCGATGTGCTTGCTACCCAGTACATACATACATACATTCACATATGAAGCCGCAGTTCAAAAGTTGACATGTACACGGCGGACCGACAGAGATCGACGAAAATGTTTCAGTTTCAGAGCTCTAATACCAACTAACTCTTCACTCGACTCTGCTAACTAACCTACCCTGCAAAGGCTAGCCCGTACGCCTACAGCACAAGACTTCGCTTGAGACCTACCTACCAGGCCAGTCCAGCCCAGCCCCCTCTCCCCAGTCAGTCGGCAGTCCCCACCCGGTTCTCCCCCTTACAGATGGGGCAGGTGAGGACATCGATCATCGACATCGACATCATCCATAGGGTATCTGTTAGTCCGCCCGACGAGATGCGGGGAATTGATACGTCGATCGGAGAGTGTCCGCTGTACATGTACATACAGTACGTTACGTAGACGCCATAGCGATGGTAGATACTAGATAGGTAGATAGCTAGAAGGTAAAGAACGAGCAATTTCATATGCGGAGGATAACTAAAAGAAACGGAGGATGAAATCAATCACGAGTACGGAGGAAAAGAAGAACTTGAAAAGTTAGTATAAATCAAGATTTTCGATCCGATGATACCTAGGTTCGTGGGTTCGTAGGTAGGTAAGTCTTGCGTGCGATGGGAATCCCCTCCCTTCCCATCCCCTCTTTCTGTGCTATTAGGTTTCCAAAAGGGAAGCCGAAAACAAAACAAAGCAAAAAGAGCCATCGTGATTAGGGGTCGGAAATGAAAGCCCATCGAACGTTTGATGCTCCCCGATTTTCTTTGTTCTTCGTCCCGCGTCAGCGAGCCGAAGCGAGGGTCAATTAGAGTTGCTCAGGCTCCAATTGAACCACTGATTAGCTACCGCAAATGTGGGGATATGAGACTGACAGGGTGCCGTGCCAGAGGAGAGGAGAGGAGAACAAAGACAGAGACAGGAAGAGAAGAAAGGAAGAAAGACATTGGCCTTGCTAGCAAGGACAGTAAGTCAAATCAGCTTAACCGTTCGCCTGTCGAGATAGGTACTCAAGATCGACGGATTATCTGTCTCCCTCGGTCGCCACTTACCATAACCTCAAATGAATTATGAACCCCATCCCCAACGAGAAAAGGGTCAGGCATCCATTCACCATTTTCTCACGTCCGAGCCTAACCATTCAAATCGTCACGCGCCGCGCGAACATGACGGGGGAAGGTACATGTACAACCCGGGTACCTCGTACAGCGTGTCACCCTCATATGCTGGGTCATCACACGGTGGTTCCATGCACAACGTCAGGGTCATGACTCGAAGAGACAGAACAAGGTAGGAGAGGGAGCTTTACCCCGGCATGCCATCGGGGCCGGGCCTGCGCGAGGTGGGAACTCGACCGGTCTGAACAAGGAAGCCGGCAAGGTGATCTGGCAACTGTTTGTCTCTGGTTCTGCCACGTCAGTTAGGGATGATCGCGCTTGCGTGCACACACACACACACACACCTGTAAGCTGTACCCGAGCGAGCCACCGAAGAGAGAGGTTGGTTCAAACTGGTCGGAGTAGATTAGTGAGTTAGCTAGGTCTTTTGGTTCGGTTCTTTTTTTTTTTTTTTTTTTTTCCCTTCCCACCCCTGGTCATGAACCCTCCCCAAGCCAACATCCAACATGCATCGCATCCAATCCGGATCAACCGACCCTGATCAAAGTGATGCAACCCCAAGCAAAATGACGGTACCTTAGTGAACAGTCTTCCGAACGCCTGCGCGCTCATAGGCCGGGGAGGCATCACGTGACCGAACCGGTATGCGGGCGGATCGATGATCACAGACGGCGTTTCTTTTTTCTGCCTGCTCCATCCCGGTCAGCGCTACGCCCACTGGGCTGCCAACCGCTGTGGCTTGGGTTAGTGATGGTGATAACGGGCTGGAGGGGGCGGGCGCTTGCTCGCCTTGCTTACACTTACTCTGTCTAGTAAATGGGGAAAAACGGACTCGGCCGGACCACACACAACGCACACAAGCAGCGATGCACGTTGACCCGGCGCCTCAGGTTGGGCTGCGGGCGGCCATCCGTGGACAAAATTCTCTGCGCCCCGAACCCTGTGCCTAAAGTCCCGTCGTGGACCATGGAACGGGCGCGATCTCACCGGTTCAAAGGACGGCGACTCGACGTTTGGGGCTTGTGGGTGGAGCACGGATTCTGGAGATTCCGGAGACAAGGACGGTCAGTCGGTGGTCTCACGGAGCTGAGGAAGGAAGAAATAAAAAAAAATAAAGAATAAAATCACGAAAAGAAAGACACACACCACCGAAAGAGGAAACAAACCAAAAAAGAAAAAGCCAGAGAGAGTCCACAATCACCTGCGTTGTGGGTTCTGGCGGCAACGGAAAGACGCGGACGGCAATGCATCGAGCCGATTAGTAGGATCGAAAAAAACGTGGCGAGGGAAGGGGGCGAGAAAAATCAAACTAATTTAGAGGACAAGAAAAC